TTATAATAAAATATATGTATATTTAAAAAATAAAATATTTACTTACAAAAGCCCAAGCCCAGCTGGGAAATACAAGAATTAAAAAGCAATAACAATACATATTTATAAAAAATCCTTTAAAAACTAATCAATCTCCAAGGTACGAAGGCTTTGAGCCACATCGGTGTCGACCTTGTGCCTGTTGCCGCCCTTTTTGGCCTTGTTTAGCTGCCAATTTTTGGCATCCATCAGGTAATCCCTAGAGAGTTAAACCATCTTTACTAAATCCAATTAACAAATTAGAATCCCAGCACCCACCTTTGCTCCTTAAGTAGCTGCATCCACTCCTGCTTCAGATCCGACATCTTTCCGGCCTCTCCGCCGTACTCCTCCGGCAGCATGGAGCGCGGAAAGTGCTGGAACGGAGTCTCGGCATTGGGCAGATGGAAGTGTATTAGCTTGAAGACCTCACCCTTAATAAAGGGCTTCACCACGGTGAGGACCTTGTCCAGAAACGAGGGGCAGTTGAGGACATGGATCTCCTTGAGCCGAACGGGATGTGCCTCCTGGACGAACTTCATGTAGACACGGAGAGCGCCCAGGGCGGTCTTGGTCAGATGTCGTAGGGTATAACCAGCCATGTCGAAAATGGGTATCTCACCGTCCGACAGCTTCTCCTCGTCCTCGGTGGCGAACCGGCAATCGGCCACCATGAAGAAGACCTTGATTCCAGCCGTAAAATTAAACTATAAAAAAAACATATATATTTTGGTTACAACTTCATATAACTCCGATACTACTACTATATTACCTTGTCGGCGTCAAAGTCAATCAGGCGGTAAAATAGCAACTTGTTGTTCTCCGGGGTCAGTCCGGGCAACGGCACCAGATCTCTGTGGTAGACCGAGAGGTGGGTTAATAAATATACAAAAGTCGGGATCCCAAAAAAAAAAAAAACCGGTTGCCCAAATGACACTGCATCACCCTAAGTGCAGACACTGCGAAAAAATCACAAAGTTGCCAAATCACATCGTAAATTATCATTCAATGTTAGTGCAAATTAATGCACATAAACCCAACCTGATATTTTGTATTTTTGATTACCATATGCATTTGGAAATCTTACAAAAGAAATTATAGTTTAAAATCCAATCAATGAATCCCCCACCTCGTAGTGGAACTCCTACTTACGCCACTTTAAGAAGCTGCTGGGAACTGGCATCTAGGGGATCTCGATCTATAAAGATATTACTGTGTTTATTCCTCAGACCGTAGTTGAGTTCCAGGAGGCGCTGGGCGTGGCTGACATCGCCCCTTGTGGAATGCAGAAAGCGTCGCAGCAGAAGACTGGCTACAAAAGGGGAGTCGGAAAATCAGAAAAAAAAGTGGGGGAAGAGACGGTGGGGTATGTGTTGGATTATGCAACTTGGCCAAGAGGCCATCCAGGCCATTGACCCAATTTCCAGTTGGTCCACTCACATATATTCTGTGGCAGCTGTGGATGCGACTTAATCCATTCCCGCAGCTCCAGCATCCGATCCGCCAGCAGTTGGTCCTCGTTTTTGTGCACCATTTTGCTGAACGAGAGAAAGTGGGTTTAGGTTTTAGAGTATCTTGTAGATTTCTAACTTTTAAGACTTTTATTGTTTAAGATCTTAAAAGAGATATATCCCATTCTAGCAAAAAAGGTCCTAAAATGGAGTCATTATTATAAAGGTTTCATTGCAAAGTCTTCCCTTTAAAGTTGTATCCATATTTGATTCATATTTTGTGTTATTTAAATATTAATTTTAATATTTTATCTTAATCACACAAAAAAATAGAAAACCTTCATCACAAATAATTAAAATCTTTATTCACGACCTAAACTTGAATTTATCAGTTAACTTTTTAGCATCTCTTGGTAATAAAAAAAAAACTAAAGTTGGTTGTAAAAATGAAGACCCACTAGAACTTGGCCGGATTTGGAGTGAAACGCGTCTATGCGAGACTTAACCGCGATTGCAACTGATTGGGGCTGGAGCCCGGTCTTGGTTTTGGCTTTGGGTTTTTGGCTTTTGGCTCTGCCACCGCCTCTGCCTCTGCCTCTGCCTCGGCCTCGGCCGCTGCCTCTGCTGCAGTCTGGCTCTGCTGTTGGCATCGCAAATAACCAAGTTATTACCTGAATAAAGCCAAGATCGAGGGGGCCATGGGGGGAGGGACAACCACAACCCGCTTCCAGCTCCCAGCTCCCATCACCCATCCCAGCTGACTTGCAAAGTTTTTGTGTTTTTTTTGCACTTTGTGCGATCAGAGTTTGGCTTTTATGTAAGATGCATTTTTTTTTTAGCAAATTCGTTAATTTCAAATGGAATGCTGCATTATTTTGAAGCATTACATTTATGGACAAATATTTAAAGAACTTGAAACAAAAATTGCCACAACTTTTGAAACTTAAAAGATAACCACTTAAAACCATGATTAGAATCACCTCCCTTATCCTTATAGACATGTCCTGTGGTTTTTTTGTCCAAAATTCTAATGAATAAAAAATAATAATTAAAATAAAATAAAATTAATATTTTTTTAAAAAAGCGCCCTCCTCCTCGATTCTCATAGGAAGCACTTAAGTAGGCCTAAAAAGCCGAAAAAAAAATTAAGTCTTTTTTAATTTTATGACTTTTCTTTTTTGTTTTTGTTGTTTATTGTTGTAAAAACTAAGAGCTTATACAGTTTAACGGTAAATAAAGCCCTAGAAGTGGCTCTCTAAAACATATTAAATATTTTATTGAATATTTAAAATATTCTTCTTAAATGAGCTTGTTACCTTGCCAACATATAAGATAATTTAGTAAATCCTTGATCAGGATCAACTCTCTTATCCTTATAGACATGTCCTGTGGTTTTTTTGGCTAAAATGTTTATGCAAAAAAATAATAACTAAAATAAAATAATTTATTAATTTTAAAAATAGCGCCCTCCTCCTCGATTCTCATAGGGAGCACTTAAGTAAGCCTAAAAAGCAAAAAAAAATTAAGTCTTTATTAATTTTATGACTTTTCCTTTTTGTTTTTGTTGTTTATTGTTGTAAAAACAAGTAGCTTATACAGTTTAACGGTAAATAAAGCTATAGAAGTAGCTCTCTAAAACATATATAATATTTTTTTCAATATTTAAAATTTACTTCTTAAATAAGCTTCTCACCTTGCCAACTTATAAGATAATTAAGTGAATCCCTGATCAGGATCAACTCTCTTATCCTTATAGACATGTCCTGTTGTTTATTTGCCTAAAATGTTAATAATAAAAAAATTATAAACAAAACAAAATAATATAAATAATTTAAAAAATAGCGCCCTCCTCCTCGATTCTCATAGTGAGCACTTAAGTAAGCCCCTAAAACAAAATATTTTTTGAATCTTGAAAATTTTTATGGATTTTATTTCTTGTTTTTATTGTCTCTTATTATATAAACAACTAGTTTACACAGCTGACAGGTTAAGAAGCTTTAGAAAATGCTTTCTCAGGTGCATTAAATATTTTTTTTTTCATTTTTAAAACCTCTTTCTATCTTTTTTTTTTAAATAAAATTAACACCTCAGCTCGTGTTGGTATTGTTGTGCAATTCAATGTGTTGACTTTTCTGTGTCAAAAGGTCAAACACCTATATGTGCATGCGTGTTTACTATTGTTGTTGTTGGTGGTGTTGCGTGGGTGCTGTGCGGGTTTTCCGGCCATAACTTACTGGCTTTAAGCTTTTTCCATGCGACCGCCATGGCGGCCATTGGCGGTAACTTTTTTTTTCAGTTGCTGTTGTTGGACATGTACATATGTCTTCGATCTTGGTTTACTATATGGGTTGGCTTTAGCTTTACCGCGACATTGGCAAACAATTTTCGGCAAGGCAAGGCAAGGCCCACACCATCCGCTGCTAACCACAGTCCGATGGCGAGTCGCGCTCCACTTGTTATGCCGCCGGCTGGTCGAATCGCTTCGTACGTGTTTCGCAACTTAAACTATTTACAACAGCATGAATTAAAACAAAAAAACTGTCAAAAAACAAAAACCAAAAAGAAGCAGTCACGAACCAAAAAAAAAAATAAAGACGGAACAGCAAAAGCAGCGCAGAACAGAAAAATAAAAAAAAATACAGCTACAAAATAAAAAATAAATAAAACAAACAAAAAAAATAACCATAACAAATATATATAAAAATGTTTAACCTGTATTTGCGTTAGCAGCAGATTGCATTACCATATAACATACAAGTTTACAGTGAAGCTTCTGGTTGGCGGGATCACAAAAATCAATCATACGCCATGTAAGCCAAATGAATATTACATGGTTTTCTTATGACATAACTTCTCGTGTAAAAAAACTAAAAACTTTAATGAGAAATCCTAAAAAATATCAATAAAATATATTTCATAGTTACTTGGCTTATTGAAGCTCCACTGTACTATTTGACAGTTGGTTTTTAATGCAGCTGTAAACTTAATAAGCCACCAAAATCCACACACAAGCGCCATTTTTTCACATTTCCATAAAAAAAGCGAAAAAAAAAACCAAATAAAAAACGAAAAGCATTTTTATGTGTGTCTCAGCAATGAAAATTAAAAGCAATTGCTCTTGACCTTGGAAATGAAACTTAACCGGCTTAATATTTTTTATTCAACAATTTAAATGCTTCCTTAAGAGTTATTTTAACAATTGCCAAATGAATTAAAAGTCAAGTAATTAAGTTGTATTTTTAAAATGCGAATAAGATTTAAAAAAAAAGCTTAGAACTTAAAATAATAGAACATATGGATGTACCATAAACATAGGCTTTTATCATTCAAATTTTTAATATTTAAAATTTTTACTAATTTTAAAATAAACTAAGTAATCATTTAATTTTTAACAAAGCGTTAAATTAATTTTGAAATAAAAATATTACATACCGTTTTTACACATGTAAATAACTTACCTAATTCTTACATCGATTTTACAGTGTGACCGTGTAGGTCAGGCGTTGGCCAAAATGAGCTGTCCATACCGTACGCACCCCAACTGGGCACACTCGTTCGCATATCCGATGGTGGAGCAAATCCCAACTTAGGATAAGAGAAACCCAATTACAAAATGATCTGTCGCCTGTGTCTGAACGCGCTGGACGAGCAGGACGCAGTGCTGCTATTCGGCGGTGCCACCGAGGCGGCAGCAGAGGACGAGGGCGACGGTGCCAGCGGCCAGGCAATGCCGGAAAGCGACCTGGTCCAACTGATCTCGATTCATCTGTACCTCTGCGTGAGTATTCCAACTTAGCCACCCCCCGACACCTCCCCATCAGCTGGAAGTGACAGAAGTGCATTCGTACAATTCCATGCATCTTGCAGCTATCCCGCGACGACGCCATCTCCACCTGCATCTGCACGGAGTGCTGCTCCCAGCTGGAGAGCTTCCACAACTTTTGGAAGCTGGTGGAGCTGAAGCAGACGACTCTGTGTAGCCAGTTCCTGGAAATCGACTGTGACGTCAACTGGTCGGAGGAGCCGGACGAGGAACTGGTCCAATTGGAGCCCGAATTTCCTGTGGAATTCTGTATAAAAACAGAACCCAAAGCAGTGGCCACCACCGTTGCTACGGCAGTCAATAAGTTTCCTTGTATGTTCTGCGAGAAGTCGTTCAAGATGCGTCGCTACCTGGAGGAGCACATTGCCACACACACCGGTGATCGACCAATCCCCTGTCCTTACTGCGAGATGGCCTTTCGCTGCCGCTCCAACATGTACACCCACGTCAAGAGCAAGCACACGGCCCAGTGGCTGAAAGCTCGAGAGGAACGGGATGCGGCCAAATCGCAGAATCACGCCATTCACGAGGTGAAAACTGAGGTGGTGGAGGAGGTTTCAGTTCTTGCTCCGCTTACAACTCCTGCCATCACCGGTATTCCCGCAACAGCTTCGGCTACATCTCCGCCATCCATGCAGCAGCTCCCGCTGTCTGTGATCAAGACAGAGCCCGGAGACTCCATCAACTTGACCATGGCCAAGACCCCACCCACAGCCAGTCGTGCATCGCGGACTCGTTCCAGCCGCCGCAAGACCCATTCGCCCAAGAAGGCTCAGCCCACAGAGTCCAGTGACGGCAGCGGCGATGAGGAATCACCCCAGAAGCGTCTCAAAGAGAACGAACTCATTTTGGCCAACTACAATGCTGTGGCTGCGGCTGTGGTGGCTGCCGCCTCAATATCTGGCACAGGAGGAGCCAGTAGCGGAGGAGGTGGCAATAGTGGAACCACCAGCCAGACAGACACCCTGCAGCAGCGTTTGTGTGCAAGTCTCCTTCAGCAGCAGCAACTCCAGCAGCACATAAATCTCCTGTCCGCTATGACAGCATCCACAGCAGCCGGAGGGTCAAGTAGCACCTGCACCACCACCACCACCACCACCAGCAATCCCTACGGGTAAGTCAACATAAATGCTCTTTACGATCGATTTTAATGACAAATCCATTTCCAGATCACCACCTGGCCAAGCTGAAAAGCGAACGCCGGACAAACGGCGATCCGCACCGACAGCACCACCCATCCAGACGGCCATCAAACCCGAGGCGCCCATCTCCCTCATTTGTCCCAACTGCGGGGAACTGCCCGGGCTGAATCACCGCTGCCTAAGCAAACCCAAGTACGCCTGCGATGTGTGCGGCAAGAGCTTCAAGATGAAGCGCTACCTAGAGGTGAGTAGGCTTGCCTAGCTTGTTAATACCTAGCCTTTATTCCATTGTATTCCATCGATTCAGGAACACTTTGCCACCCACACTGGCGTTAAACTGCATACCTGCGCCTTCTGCCCCACAGAATTTCGGTCCAAGTCGAACATGTACCATCATACGAAGCGTAAGCACAAAGCCGAATGGGAACGCTCCAGGGCTAGCCGATCGGCGGCGAAGGAGCAAAGGCTCCAGGAGCAAATCCAGATGAAAATACAGTTACCCAGTGCAGTTACCCAGGCCCAGTCCGGACCGGCTGCTGTCTAAACTTTTATATACATTTATATATGAATATATTTTTTGCATGTTAGACATACATAACACAAAATAACGAGAATACCGACATGTACTTAACCGAAGTTTCGTATAACTCCAGTCGCGATTTGCGGATATCGCCTATCGCCCATCGCCTGGCACCTATTGTGTATACTCTTCTCATTCTCTATAATGCCTTGGCCAGTTTTGATTAGATCTGGTTATAAAGTAAACATTAATTTCAACAAAAACTGATATATAATCGTTTTGCTTATTGGGGCGGCTTGGAGCTTAGGCGGTACGGATCCGTACCCTTAACTGTATTGGATTTCGATCTCTGGATGTTTATTTTGATTTGTTGGAAGTGGGGACTGGACTGGACTTTAAATAAGCAAATTCCTAAATTCTTTCCGTTATTTTCTTGCTTATTGATGAGTGAGCTTCTTTCTGGCAGAAATGATGAGTTTAACAGGATACTTCCATCTCTTTTCATTCGAACTATACGGGTCAGCAAAAAACAAACCCTAGTCCCTAGTCCCAAACCCACTCTGCTGGAAAGCCTCGAAAAACGAGCAAAATGCAGACAATAGTCGCCCAGATTACCCGGCGAACAGAAATCAGGAGCAGATGGAACTTCAAAACAAAAAAATAATACTGCAACGGTTCTCAACTCCGAATACCTCAGTATATACTATATACCAACTTTTTTGGTATTCTCACATGTGCTGACAACTGGTAACACTGCAGAGAGCGAGGAAAGTGGCGTTGCCACCTGCTGCCGATTACTGTTCGCCTGGTAATCTGGGTGCGTTTTGTGTGCATTTTGGGGAGCGTTTTGTGGCTCAAAAAAAAGCTAGCTAGTCCGTTTTTCTGGACTTGTATGCGCCCCCTAAAGCCCAAATGGAAAAAGATGAGAATTATTATTGCAAATTCAATTTACAGATTTAATTTTAATTTATTTTTTTTGTTTTATCGCCTTTGTACAAATAGAAAACAGTTAATAATTGCAATTGCAAATTGCTCAATGCGTACGTTGTTTTTTTTTTTATATATATATATAGTATGTAAGTTTAGTTATGATCCTCCCGCCAAACATAAAATTTTTAGTGATTTCTCTCATCCGAAATAAAGAGGGGAAATACAAATAATGTGAACGGATAAACGGATATACGCGTAAATTAGTGTTAGGGACAAAAGTGTGTGTGTTAATATGATAAAACTAGGTATACAATATAATATATATATATCGGTATATCAAGCTGCTTTCTGTACTGCCATGTTTTTTTTTGGAGAAGTATCCTTCGCCAGGCATGTGTTCTTTCATTTGTTTCGAGTTCGTTGTAACCACGAAAGCAGCCACCACTTGACATCGTTTTTTTTTGGACAAAAAAAAATAATAATAATTCTAACTCTGTTAGTCGACGATTAGTCGTTGGCGCGCTACTTGAATGGATTGGGTCGTGCCTTGAATACCGTCATCTTTCGTATTTCCTTGATCTCCTCCTGCTCGCATCGTTTCCGTTGTTCGTCTTGCTGAAAAAAATAAATTGAAAAAAAAGAGAACTTTAATGAATGGGAACATTCACAACAATGTACATTCAGTGGCTCATCCATATTGATAGCGACATTATTAAGTTGCCATTATATTCCCAACCCACTTTAATTGAAAAATGAAAAAAGAACTGAATCATTCGAGTCTTTCCTCTTCTTATGAAGCCGGGCTTACCCCCCGATTAGTCAGCCGGCAGGAGGCCAAGTGATAAGGGGACCTTGCTCGCCAGAGAATATGGTGGACGGCGACGTCCACTTGGTATCGGCTGTGGCTGATCCACTCGGCGGTTTGTTTGCCAGCAAAAAAAAAATAGAGAAACAGCCACAGCCATTTGGGCTGATAAGATTAGCGTAGCGGACGGAATTCGCGCCGAGTGGGATCAGTGAATAAAAAAAAAAAAATGGAAATTAAAAGAATAAGAAAACAAAGCGCCGAGCCAAGGTCAAAGTCACAAATACAAAAAAATGAGGATCTTACAAAGGATCTTATGAAGTAATCTTAAGCTCCCACCGCTCCAAAAGGATCATCGTAATAGAGCCACTTTCTATGGCTTAACTATGTCACTTAAAACTAACGATCATTACTAATATCTCTTTGGAAGCGGTGCACTAATCTCTTGTGAAAAGCTGCTAAGAGCCCCCCCCGGGCTATAATCATCTGAGTTTTGTTTGTGTTGGATATCTACCAGTGGGTTAACTCTCTTTTTTGATCTTCTCAGCAGTGGCTGCCGACTATGGGGGCAGCTGGATTCGGGGTGGCTTGGGCTGGCTCGCCACCAACGCCGGAATGGCCCAGCGCTGACGTTGCGGTAATCGTGGAGGAGGGAGTGGCTATCGTGGAGTCATCGGCGGAGGAGAGCACGCTGTTGTCGCCATAGAAACGGGGCTCGTCATGTGATTCGCCGCCCGGCGAGACAATATCTTCGTCGGAATCCTCATCATTGGAGCTATCACCGGCGGTTGTGTTGAGCTTATTTCCGGTAGCTGCGGCCACAGCTGCCGAATCCTCGCCAGAGCTGGAGCTTGGCACATGCTTTAAACGATCATAACAGGCGTCGCAGACGCGTAGCGGTTTGGTGCTCTGCTGTGGTAGCAGAAACTTCTTGGCGGAGCAGCCGGCACAGACGACAGCACCGCAGTTGCGGCAGTGATGACGGCGCTGGATAAACGTAAACTGCGTCTTCTTGCAGTGCATGCAGACACTGGCCTCGGTGTCCGGCACCCAAACAGCGGCATGATTCTCCACCGGCTTCTTGCCGCTTTTGCGCAGCAGGTCCTCCACGCACTTGTTGATGTGCGCCATCCATTCCTGCTTCTCTGTACTGGTGGCGGCATACACCACAAACGACTTGGTGGTGGTGCGAATGTACCAGCCATTCCTATACTGCTGATTATCGGCAATCGACTCCAGCGATACCTCCTCCAGCGGCATGATGTGCTGCTTGTTGTACTTCTTCTTGCCAATCACTATATTCCCGTAGACCAGGATGTCGTTGAAAAGGAAAAACTGGCGGCTCTTTGGACGCTTCCGGCACATCTTGGTTAGCACACCTTCGCCGACCAGGACACGGCCCTGCATCGCCAGCGGCACACCCGAACTTCCAAAACAATTCTCAACGGAGGCGATGCGTCGCGTGTTCGCCTCCGAGTTCACCAGACGGTCCACCATGATGTGAAAGTTCTTGTTCCGGTTGTTCCTGTTGCTTCGTTCGTTCGGTTCCGAGTGCTTAGGTGTTTAGTATTTGGTGCTCAGAATCGGAATCGGAATCAAAAATAATGAAGACTCTGAAATCCGAAGAGTAGCCAACTGTGACGACAAATTCACCTGTGTGTTGGTGTGTGCAGCGTTGTGCCGTGTGACCCTCGGTACCAGCTATATGTATGTGTGTGTGATAATGTATCCGATATTTTGTTAGCGTGTGCGTATGGGTGGAACTCGGTAGCAGCTGTTGCGTGTCCTGCGGGTACCCTGGTACCTTGATGGCCAATATCTCCTCCTTTCGGCTCGTCCGATATATGCAATGTACAACTGTCAACTGGCTTTTTCTACGCCGTCCGCGACGTCATGACTCACTCCCACCACTAACAACAAAAACAAACTGCGCTCTCGGCGCCCCCGCCTCGCTTCTTGTCACTTTCGCTCTTCCTATCTCTTTCCGTTGCTCGGTGTTCGGTGCCGTTTCAGCTTGCTGTCCGCTTATGTCGCTTTATTAGCGTACTGGTTCCGATTTTCTAATCTGAATGGTGATTTGTGTGTGGCGAGATCCAAGGAATACAGTATCCCGGCTGGCCAGATAGGATGCACAATTTCCCTCGATGGCAAAACTAAGTAAACCTTTTCGACGTTTTAACTCGCAACGGTGTGGCCAGCCTATGATCCTAAAAAATGACCTACTTTTAACCCCAAAACCTGTTATGACCCAGTGTTGTAAAATACAGCAATTGATGAACTTTCCAACCGCTGTATTTGGTTTTTAAATCTTTTAAACATTTAACGTTTAAATACCTCATTTTTTTTCTGCTCCAAATTCGCCTGCACAGCAGCGTCAAATTCACGGCGTTCCCGCAGGCGCTGTTCGCTTCGAAGCTGGAATGGCTTGGGCTGGCAGTGTCCAGGCCTAGGGGGTGGATGCTTATCATGCTCCGACCCTGTCTCCCGAATCCTTCGCCGTTCCCTGTCCAAGCGCCCGTGTTTTACGACCTCTGGAGTGACCGGCATTGTCACTTTGTGTACCACACGCATCTCGCCAATGCGGTTGTGTATCATTTTGAAATTTGGCATTGGCCGGCTGTGGAACTCACGCGCCTTACGCTCCTCATCCTCGCGTCTTCGCAGCGCCAGCTGCCGGTTTGACTCGTAGACGTTCTTAAAATCGTAGGCTTTGGGAATGGGAACCGAACCGCCGGCAGCAGGCTCTGTTTGGTGTTTCTGCTGGACGGGTGACCACATCAGACGCAGATTGGGACCCGGTGCGCAGCGGTTCTCTGTACTTTGGTGTTGATCAGCCTCAGGTCTGTTCTCCTCCTTGAGCTCGTCCTCGTCCCAGCTCGGTTGGATGATCGGAATCGGTTTGATTTCCGCTTCTTCATTTTTCGTTTGATATTGATCCTGATCCGCTTTGGCCACGGGAGTGGCACAGGTCAGCAGAGCGTTTACATTGTTTATGTTTCCAATATTTTCCTTGTTTGCCTTTGCTGTACAAAAATTGGCAATGGGCAAAAATGGCGCCCTTTTATTTAACTAACTGTGAATGCTGTGTTTGCAAAGTTCTTACCGAAAAAGTTTTGGGAATGATCTAGGAGATAATCACCCACGTCGATGGCGTCCCAATCGAACTCCGTCTTCAAAAAAGTGCCATCCTCCATGGCTATTTTGTGAATTGCGGCTACAAATTTTAAAATACAAGCAAGGTATGATCAAGGCACGCTGCGAGTGACCGTATGGCTTTGGTCAAAAAACACCAAATATCGTTTTGCAACACTCTATCGGTAAAATTTATCGATTTATCGACTGGCGCCTTCTTGAATTTTGAATATTCTGCTCAACAAGGGCTCTTTGTTTTCAACAAATAAAAATTCTATTTACAGATTTTTAATGCAAAACACACCAAAGTATTGTTTGTACATATCATCTATTTATAAATTGTAGTACTTCTATAAATAGGACATTCCAAAGAAGAGTCAATATTGCTTTGAAGATGATTTGTTGTTCCAAGAATTTGTTTTATTTATTAAATACACAAAAAAAAAATATTATTTCGAAAATTTAGTTCATATTATTGAAGTTTCCAGCTTCCCAGTTGCCCCAGACTTAATGCGACGAAAGAATCAAACAAGTTGAATGGTTTAAAATAAAGTTAATGTTATAATTTGAATTTTTCAAGATTGAAATTTTGCAAAAAAGTTTCCAGATTTTGGTCAGATTTTGTCATGTTTATTAGTTTTTTTTGTTTATTCTTAAATGTATTATTATTAGTTTGAGTGAGTGTGGATTATCGAGGACTGGTGCCTGGAATCAGGGTATGGCGAGACACCTATCTGCAGAAACGTGGGTAAACTTGTGAAGAGTTTTATTCTTTATAATGTGGAGGGGGTTAGGTAAGGCCCGGGTGAGTACAATATTATTGAGGGTTTTACATTAGGATTATCGTATTATCGTTTTGAATATCTGCATGTGTATATATATATATGTATATAGCTTTACCCATATTCTGTATCTGCTGTATATCTGCATATATATTTAAAGCAGTTGCGCCATTCTGGTATTGCTGTTTTGCCGGATCCGGGTATATATATTTACGGCATTAACCGGGAGCTGCGTGAACCAAAAATTCACGTTTAGCATAATTTAAAGTTATTCTCTAAATAATCAGCACGCACCTTACGTTACATAAAATAAGTCAAAATGGGTACGACGAGTAGGTGGCGACGTTTTTGAATTGTTATCAAATTTTTTTTTTTTTCATTTTCTTTTGTTTTCTTGTGTATAAATTAGTATCTATGTATTTAAAATTATATACATTAATGTACTTATCATATTATATTATATGCCTGTCTGAACATAACGTCGCCGGATAGGGTTTTCGCTTATAATTCCATCATTTTGTATTATTTGCTTTTTTGTTTTTATTAATTAACATTTCTCGTCACTATCAAATTTCAAGTTTTTTTTTGTTATATTTTTGAGTGCAAGTTCACATAAATTCAGTCGTAATTCATTTGTTTTCATTAGTGGATATCATTGTTTTTGCTTTTCATGTATTATTTTTTTTTGTATTTTTCACTTAAATAAAGCTCAAAAGGTAGTAGCCGGGGGCGTACACAACGCGGAACGAATTTTATACTCAAGAATTTACCATTTGTTTGAACAATTTAAAGTTTTTCTTTATATTTTTTTGGTTATTTTAAATCGAAAAACGTATCTCATTGGACAAACAAATAGTTAATCCTTTAGTTAACGGCTCTACGGTTCTGGGGAGCATCCAAGTCTGACATGTAAATGCAGCTCCAACTTAGAGTACAGTTTATGAAATTAAATTGCTTAACCAAGGACGCGACTGCCCAGCGGCGAAATAGTCGGTGTTGTTATATTGTAAGCACTATAAAAACTACTAAGACCTAACCCTACAAACATCCGCTAAATTGTGCATAATTCCTACCTTATTGTACGCAAGAGAGATCCGTTCAGGACCTGAGAACTGTGCTCTCGCGGAGCTCAAAGCAGAGGCGCTCAACAAAGCACTGGTTGGCTGGTTGTGGTTCTAGCTTAGTTTGTAATTTTTTTTTATATTATTTCATTTGTTTTCTTAGTTTTTGGTTCCACTCGAGTTGAACACATGCACTCCAGCCCACAAATTAGCTCTCTACAGTGCTATATATATATAGTCTATAGTACAGGAGCAAGCGCACAACGCTATTGAAATCGAATTTCAGTATTTGTCTGTTAACTTCTGTTTTGAAACGCGGCTGCTTGGGATGAACTTGGTAGGTGGCTGTGGCTGGTCTGGTATGGTCTGGTCTAGTCTGAAATCCTATAATGAACTGCCTGATGATGTACTGTTGCTAATGTGGCGCTTCCTTGGCGGCTCTTATTGTTGCTGTTGTCTCTATTGTTAGCTGATTGGCGATGAATTCTGTTTTTTGATTGATAGATGATGTGAGTTCGATCTCGTTAAAGGTTTCTATGTGAACATTGTGCGCATTTAAATTCCAAGACTAAAGACATTCAAATAAGAAAGAGATGGAATGTTAGTTTGAGAAACAAATCAAATAAGATAATTATTCATTCTCACATTCGTGATCCTTTCTGCTGCAGGACCTTGGCGCGGTCGTTTAGCTCTAGCTCCCGGCCGGCCGTCGTTCCGCACTCTTTGGAGACCACACACAGGAACTCATTGTTTTCGAAGGGCCCATAACTGGTGTACTGCATACCCAAGCTGATCAACTGCTCGAATCGCCAACCATCCGAAAGCGTTGAGATCATCTAAGGATGAGATTAAGACACAAATAGTTTATCAAAAGCTTTAATATGGAGTTTGGTAAGGACTCACCTGAGTCAGTTCTTGCTCCCGGCACTGAAGCACACGATAAACCCGTTTCTTGTCCGCTTGCGGCCGCTAGAGAAGAAGAGATTGGTTTGGAACATAACTACTTTGTACTTAAAGGACATAGTTACCTGATCCCTGTGACTGATGCACTCCTTCAGCAGTGCTATTAATTGTGTCACATTATAGAACTCGGCCTCCTCCAGTACTCCCTCCTCAGAGACGCCATCGAGTACTAGCTTACCGTGCCGCAAGTAGTTCAGCACCGGGGCAAAGTATTTGGGATCTCTGTCGATCAGGTAGGCGCCAGTTTCGTCCTGCCAATGGGAGAATATTACACGGTGTTAGTAATTACTAATCGAGCTGGGGAGGGGGAGGCCCAACCACCTTAAGGCCACCACTCAGGTAATAGCTAGAATGGCCTGGGGGGGGTGGGTGACCGGACCGGACTCGGTTCGGGGTGTATTTTATGTTCTGGTCTGGTCTGGTCACGGGGTGAGCAACGAATTTAATCAATAGTGAAACACAACGCTCTGGTACATGAATACAAAGTGCAATGCTTATTGTTCGACAGTATTTAAGCATCGTGGGAGGAATATATAACACGAAATTACTATCCATGCACAAAGAGAAAAAGCCCACTGGCTGCCCATTGTAGTTCCGCCGTACAGTAGTGACTGGCAATGATTGTTCATTGCCGTATTTGTTGAGCTTATTTATTATTTCGGTGTACATAACAAGAGGCCATCTGGAATTTCTCTGTGGAATTGTGTTTGAATATAATTGTTTGTGGTTTTGGTCGCGTTCATGTTGTGATTATTGTTATGATTGGGCCTTTATTTTTTTTGTTGTTTTCAACCACCCTACCATCAGCACCACCCACGGAGCTGCGCCCGCTCCAAGGCACCAAGGCTGCAAGGCTCAAGGACTTTGGTCAGCAGGGCCTCTGCCTGTCACTGCGAAACTAGTTCACCCACACAACTATGTCCAAGTGCAGCAAGTGCAGAGCTCTCCGGCTCTCGGCTGCAAGGTCTCTGTTCTTATTCTCTCTGGCTTCTCCTTGCCAGAGTACACTGGGTCACTCGCATATGATCTGTGTTTTCGACAAAAAGTTTATTACTTGAACGAGAAACAATTAAAAATGAAATAAAAGAAATATTCAAAAAATTACTAATAATAGACATAACTCACACCAATTACATTTGTTTACGATATTCTGTATCTTGAATATTGAGGTATTTGCTCTCCACTGTGTGACCTGCGACCTAGAAAAACGATTTTTCTGCGCTGGCTAGCTATGCTTTCACTGGCTGCCACTGCATGACCTGCATTGGGTCACCCAGTCATACATGTGCACTAAAATTTTTGGTGTTGGAATGGCCTGCCTTATTACTATAATTATAGCCCAGCCACGATGGTGGGGCGATGCTATTAATGTGTAATATTCATGAGTGTGCGTGTGTCTGTGTGTGTGGGGGGGTAGGGCGACCAGCCAGAGCATGGGGGGAGAGAGAAAAATACTCACCCGATCCGATATCAAGTCGCAGTCTTCCTGGATCAGACGTGACAGAAAGGAGTTGGGGTCGCGGGAGAGCGTCGTCTTTGTGGTGAGGAAATAGGTGCCGCCCACATTCAGCTTGACCCACTGGTCGGTGCCCTGCTTCTTCAGCACATTGGGGCTCTTGCGAGAGTTTATGAACACAGTGCTCATAGTGGATCCGTTGTTATCTCCGTCTGCTGCTGCGTCTGCGGATTTGTTTCTGCCAGTTGCCTCGCCGTGGAGGTGCTGTTGGTGGCTGCAGGATTTAATTTCTGTCGTCTCTGATGAGGAACTACTGCCTGGACACCTGAAGTTCATGGGCTGCTCTTCAAGTCACTTGGCTGCTTATCCAATTACCCAACTTTTCGTCACGTTGTCTGATTGTCCGCCCACACTGTTTGGTTGCCCTCGCCACTCGTCGTCACACTCCGCACTCCTGGTCGCAGTTGCAGTTGCAGTTTTAATTTCGATTTCAAGCTCAGCTCCAGCTCATGCTTTGCCCCTTCCTCCCCGTTGGCGTTTCCTCTTTGTTGTCGCTGTGTCGCTGCTCGAGGTGCTGCTGCCCTTCCGATAATTCCGCTTTTCCTTCGTGTCCTGATTGCCTGCGCTGGTCACTTGGTCGTCCGTTCCATTGGCCTCGATTCCTGGGCGATTTCGCTGATTTTCATTTACCTCACCAAACAAAAACACGGCCACAAAACCTCAAATACCATTACATTATAGAGCTGGGAAAATATCGTACAGGGAGTGCGATAGGCATGCTGCAACTGTTATCGACTTATCGATATATCGTTTGAGGTGAGAATATCGCTTTTGGTGAGTTTTTCAAATACGAATTTGAAATTTCTTTTTTGATTTTGATGGCGAGCATGTTATGATTGCAGATCCATGGATCAGTTAATACTAGACGACTAAACTGTCAACATGACAACGATTACTTTCCTTCTGTTGGCTTGCGTGGCCACTTCTTTAGCCTCGCCCATGCTCTACAAGCTGAATCCCGGCGAGAAATACGAAGTAGGTAAGTGTTTTCTAAATATATTTTATTTATTTATGATTAATATAATCTTTCCCTAGATCTAGTTCCTATATCATCCACTGTGATCCCTCTGACTGTCCTGGAAGTGAGCTATGGAGCCGGTGGAAAGCCCAGCGAGGAGTACAAGGCGGCCTATCTGCGAAAACTGAGAAAGCAGGTCCTCCAGCGGGCGGACAAGGAGCAGCAGGGTGCCGGAGACGACGATTTCACACCCACCATAGTTGCCGTGGCACCTGCCGATGCCGATTCCCTGATTACAGGTGAGTTTTTCATCGTTTTTCTGTTTCCCAATCTGATTAATCTCGTTTAAAGCCAAGACACATCAAGTGGAGAAGGCCAAAGTCAAGGACATTTGAATGGAGGTGGACCTGTCCTAAGTGTAGTGACCAAACTGGTGCTGGAGCTGGAGCAGGTCTTTGAGCTGATGTCATATAGTGCGTGGAATAAACAACATCTAGCCATCTAGCCGAATGGCAAATCTTGTTTTGGTTTTGGCCTTATTGGGTCGATTGTGTGGGCTTTGCTTGCGAATGACGCAAGGTTTTGGCCAGACATCAGACTCGAGACTCCAGACTCTTAAGTCTCTTCTTTATTATTTTTTTTTTGAATAGGAAGTGCCAGTGAAAGCCGGAATTTATAACAATCAATCGCCTCTGGCATTTGTAATAAATGATGGAGACCAATAGTTTGTCCAGCCATAATGGTAAAAAGTAGAAAAAAATAAAAAACTGTAACAAACAAAAGCTCCAACAAGCCATGGGATAGTGGCATTATCATGATTTTCAAGCCAGTTAGTCACTTTCCTTCCCCCTCGATGTCTTCTTTGTTGCCCTTGTTTGTGTGGCTTGTTTTTTGTGGGGGTACAGGACACAGGACTCAGGACTCAGGTGAGATTTTTTTTGTGCTAAACAGAAAGCTTTGTTGTTTCCCTTTTTGTTTGATTTCTTTTTTTTTAGAGCCTTTTCCATTGTCAGGAGTCCTGCATTGTGGACTTTAGCCATCTAATGTATTTTAAGCTGTAGTTGGGTGTAAGTAACACAAACAAGTCAGGGGCAGCACTTTAAAGAGCTTTGGAATTCCTAATCATCTGACAAGAGGAAATATTTATAATTGCTGTATCCTTGGCTTGTTTTATTTTCAAATATGGTTTTAATTATAGCTCTTGTGTGTCGTTGACACTCTTTTTCCAGCCTCTAGGGCTTCAATTAATAGCAGCGCCTCTTCAAATTGAATGTCAACATTGCGTATACGCCTACGTGTCCCACTTGTGTTTGCAGATGTGGTGGCTTTTGTTGTTTTGGCGGTTGCAGCATCTGATTGTTTGTGCCACAAATGTCAGATGCCGTTTCTAATCGATTTTGCCATTTTTCTACAAGAGAGAGGACAACTAACAAAGTTCGCAAGCTTTTTTAAACCACAATCCTTCATCAGGCTATGGTCACAATCTCCTAAAAATTCAAAACTTTAGAATTTTGCCATTTTGTCTCCTTCCGATACTCATAGTTTCTCCAATTTATACCCGATCGGAGAAAGGCATACCTTTCTGTAATCAGAGTGAGGAGTAGCTCAATCCCTCATTTAAATCATTTTCTAAGTACAGTTTTAAAATTTTTCGATTTTTTGCAAGGGGGTCCCCTTCAAAAATCCCCATTTTCGAATTTGGCCATTTTGTCTCCTTCCGATACTCATAGTTTCTCCAATTCACATCCGATCGGAGAAAGGCATATTTTTCTGTAATCAGAGCAAAGAGTAGCTCAATTCCTTATTTAAATCTTTTTCTAAACACAGTTTTAAAATTTTACGATTTTTTCCAAGGATTTCCTTTGAAAAAATTGACTTTCCGACCATGGCACCCCAGTTACGTCTATATCTTGTCCAATTTACATCCGATTCTTAAGGATAATGTCTTAAATGATTTCAAGATTTATTCCCCATCAATCTTTTTAACAATTGGAGATGCAAAGGATGTGGTTATCCAATGAAGACCCTGTCAAGGTGGGAAGGTAACGTTAGATTGAAAAGGCTGGAATATCCGGCCCGGCCATGGAGACACGATGTCATTAATTTCTTTTTGTTGGGGCTCGCCTTTGTATTTTGTGCCAGGGACATGGCAGAGGGCGTGATCTAATTGCGGATTTTGGTTGCATGCCGATGCAGTTGGTCCTCCGATTTCGATTCCTATTCCGATTTTCATTTCCATTCGCATTCATGTTCGAACACAGTTTGCCTTCCGGCTGGCCTCTATTGACCCGACTCCGGGCTCTGGCGATGGTGCTGGGCTCTGGTACTGTGTTGTCCACCCGGAGTATCGTGCAGCGTGGGAATTTATGCAAATGAGCTAGGGGGAGGTGGGCTGGATGGGGGTTTCACGTCTAATTGGCGCACGTCCTGTTCGTCGTGCATCATCCGGTGACTTCCAGAGCACCCAGCCATCCAATGATGTGGAAAATTACTTGAAACTTGTACTGTTTTGTCGGTTTATCAGATGAAACAGGAAGAGTGCCTTTCCCCGGCTAACCAATTTATTTTAAATGCTTTTATCTCTGTTTTCTGCTTTCTTATTTCTCGATTTTAATGTATGAGTATGTGTGTGTGTACTTTCAAGGATAAACTAAGGGGGGAGAAAGGTAAAAGAACTCTTTAGACTCCCCAGGTTTTTCGTCTTTTACAGAAAATGTCTCGAGGGCAACAAAATCGGTAACTTAATGAAATTTTGGGTTGGGCAAACAGAGCTTCAAAAAAACAAGGACATACATGGCCCAACACACACACAAACACACAGGAAAATGAAATTATAACAAACTTAAAGGCAACGGAAGTGCAGACGGAAGAAATGGACGACCGGATGGGGCGTGGCTCTTCCCAAAATCATCGGCTAGCGTAATTAATCGACCTTTCAATGCTACCGTATCGTAATCGCATCCATCAAAGTCTCAGGTCTCAGGTCTCAGTCTCAAAACTGAAAAAACCCAAAAAATTCAAAGTACGAACCGGAAAACAGGAAGCCGGATAATCCCGGTATAGGAACAGGAGCCATGGCAGCAACCTCCAATCATCTATCATAGACATTCCCATTCTCTTTCTGTATGTATGTGTTTGTGTATCCACCTTCACACATACATACATACATATACCATATTTATCTAAAAACGTTGCCTCATCACCACCTCCCCCGCTCATTCAAATCTAATCAACGAATACACGTCGCTATCTTTTTCCAGACCGAGCGTCTTTACAGGCAATTTATTAATTTGGCAAGTTAGGCCACAGGACTAAGGACTCGGGCATCAAAAAAAAAAAAACAAAAAAAAAAACAAGGATATAACGGAGGGATAAGATGGAAACTATGGAAACAAGAAAAGCCGCAAAGCGTCTTCTTTGGCGCAGATGGCCTGAAATTCAAGCCGAAAGCTGAAAACCGGAAAATAGAAACCATCAAGCAGAGTCCTTCCTTCCCGCCAACCCCAACGGCTCCCCCCCAAAAGGATGACACACTATGACACAGTGATGGCAGGTGCCACTAGATTATCCGTGAATATAATATTGAAACTAAATATAAAAGCAATGAATAAATAAATAACTCATACGTCATGTTGTCCGATTTGGAAGTTGGTTGCCTTTTTTAAAGAATTAAGCTCTGCTTAAAGAACTTCTAAATTGAATTTGACATTTGAGATTGATTAAAATTATGTGTGTGTAAGCCTCATCACTATGCGGGGAGCATTCCGAAACAGGGATTCGATTGGAGGAGTTGCACGGAGAAAGTCAGGCAGGACAGGATAAACGGTGGCAGCGAAAACAGAAGCAGAAGAGTAGAATCAGAATCAGAAGCAGAAGAAACGCGACAAAAGCGTACAATAAAAACAAATCAACACGTGGTTTCTGGACACCATCCCGAGTACTATGGCCGTTGAGGTCGAGGCCTACCCAACACCACCCCCAACATGGGTGAGAGCGACGCAGACGCAAAAGAGAAAGTTCAAGGGTTGCCAGATAAAAAAAAGGTGTAAACCATAAAAGCTTATTAAATGCAAGCTTGATTTATTAGATAATATTACTTTTAATTATAAATATTAATATTTAAAAGTCTAGCTTTATTTTTTAATGAAACTTTATTGATATAATTTGTAATATCCTCTCCTTCGAATCCTTTTAAAAGCTTAGGGTGACAACCCAGACAGCAATTGGGTTTGGCTAACGGTAGAGCCAAGAGAGCCAAGAGAGAGAGAGCGCCAGAGAGAGAGAAATATTACGTGAACGCTGCAGGAGGGCGTGTTACATGCCCGTTTGACGCAGGCTGATGACGCGAGGAGAAACGAAATCGAAATCGGAACCAAGTCAATCCCTCTTTCTCTTTGACATTGACAATGCTCCGGCTTCGGGATTTTGGGCGGCTTCGGGCTTTCAAGCTTCGGCCCAGGCACACCGCCCCCTCCCCCTCAAGCACCCCTACTGGCTAGTACCGCGAAAAACGAGCACACCCCCCCCAGCCAGCGCCTGTATGTGTGTGTGGATTTCGTAACGTGCCTCGGGATGCTTGGGATGCTGGTGCTCCTCGGGATGGCTGGCTGCTCTGCTCTGCGGACACCCGGGATGATGGCAGTGCCATTCGGTGGCTCGTCGCATTCAGTCCGCAGAGCGCGCTCCGTTCCTCTCCGTTCCGATCCGCTCTGCTCAGCTCGTTCTATTCTGTTCTGTTTAATGGCTTAATTCTGTCCTCCGGTTCTCTGTACAGAAGGCGTTGTTGTGTTGTGTTTCTTTGTTTTTTTTTTTTTTGGAATGATTTTTGTTGTTGTGTGTGTGTTTTTGCCAGCGGATCCTTTGACCCTTGGATCAAGCAAGCACTAGAACTGAGAGACAGGATCAACTTCGGATCAACCCGGAACCAAAAACGAGCGCCAAGCATCCAGGCAGGCAGGCAGGACGACGAGCGGAATGTGAACGGAAATGTAAGCAAAAGCATCCTCGATGTCCCCGCCCTTGTCCTGCAATTGTGTTTTGTTTTATAACAAAGAACAACGGTACATTTATGTGCCTGGCTGACTGGCTGACAACAACAACAATAATAATAATAACTGGGGGAAATAACGGTACTCTAGAACAATAATACCAAGCGGAGAGCGAGTCAGCAATGAGAGCAAAAAAAAAAAAAATTAAATGAATTTTCTGTTGCCTATTTTTTGGGGCTGTATGTAAAAAGTCTGCCTGTTTTAGGGCTAAACTGTATTAGTGTGCGTGTATTTTTTTCCCCATTTTTTTTTTTTTTGGCAATGTGTGTGATTGTGGTAGTGTGTGTGTTTGTGTCAGTCTGTGAGGCTGCGTCGTCGTCGTCATCGTTGCCTTTTACTCGTGTATTTGTACTTGTCGTGGCTGTTGTGCGTGCCTTTGACTTTTTGGGTGTGGACTTGTTTCATGTTTCAGCTTCTGTCTCATCTTTCCATATCCTCCATAGCCGTCCTCCCTGCCGTTTTTGGGGGCGCCCAACCCCCCTCCCCCTTGCCCTGGCAGCAGCTTACGCCCCTGAACTGTCACCATAAAACAAAAACTTTTTCGGCCAAGAAGAAGAAGAAGCACCAGCAACAACAAAAAAAAACAAAAACAACATCAAACAAAATTATGTGCATTTTTTAAAAAATAACCAAAAAAAAAAAGGACGAAAATGCAGTCTCTTTGCTTGTTTTTTATTCAAATCCTTTTTTTTAAGAGAGTATGTGTGTGTGTGTCTAATAGCAACAACAACAACAAAGGCAGTGCATTAAAAGTGTCGAAAAAAAAAGAGAAAAAAAAAAAAAGAAAGCAGCCTGAAATGCAAACAAAAGCCACGGGAACTACCTTTCCACATCCTACCAGCCCCTTCAGCGTCGCCCCTTATGACACATTTTAATTATGAGTCCTGCATGAACCCCACCACCCCACCACCCCTCTCAGCCATCCTTTTCATAACTTGCATTATTCTAAAAGGACGAAATTCGAGACGGTAGGCCAAGCGGATCAGCTGCCTTGGGTGTTTCTTTTGGCGCGTGTTGGCGCATCCTTTTTCGCCTGCTTTCCGGCCCATACTTTAATCCTTTTTTTGCCACCCCACCCAGGTGGTCTAGGCACCTTGCTATCTCTGTATCCTATGTTGCAGTTCGGAACGTAAACAAACCCCATCAGCATAAATCAATAAACTCCTACTGCCACCACCTGGCATGTAGCTCCTTAAAGGATATATCATTCTAGAGTACCCATAGTGGTAGTCCTTTCTCTTTGTGGCTATCGGATTACAGTATTTTAGTGCTATAATAAGGATAATAGCTATAAGGATATTAAATATTCTGTTGGTGGCACAACAGTTGCAGTTTTCTAGGAAGCTGCAAACTTTTTTTCGGTTTTTTTTTTTTTGGTTTTTTTTTTCTGGCTGGCCAGAACAGGACTCGGTAGACGTGTTTGTGTTTCCTAGTCCTTCTGCAGGCTGTGTAGTCCTTGTTTTATGTTGCACCAGTGTTGTCGAGTGGCGTGTAGTGGGATTTGCATTTTCGGGGGCACAACTTTTGGGGGCACAAACTTTTGTTTGCTTGTTGTTATGGCGGCTCGACACGACACGACATCCTCGTGCCCCGAACGGGGGTCCTGAGTCCTGAATTAATGAATCGAATGCCAGACTTGGATTTGATAGATTATACACCCAGTTGGCACTATCCTTTTGGATGCCACAAAGGATATACAGTTGACAGACAAAAACCGTTTTGGTCCAAAAAAAAAAAAAAAACTAATAAGGCTGACAGCGGTCGTGGCTCTGTCAAATTAGACGCCAAACCAAAAAAAGGATAAAACATGGCGCAAGGATAAGCGAAAGAAGAAGCCGAAAATAAATGAAAATATTGCATTTTGTGGGCGTGGTCAGGCCGAAAGAAAGAAGAAGAGCAAGAAGTGGGAGAAGAGCCAAGGAAATGTGAGTAGGGCTAAAAAGTAAATAACTGTCAAAAGGGTCCAAGGGAGTAGGTGGAGTGGGTGGAGTAGGGATATCCATGCTCAAGATGCCTCATAAATACGAACACACACATCCTTGGCAAAATGGCGGCCAGTTTCTAATGGTTTCTTTGGTCCTGGCAAGGACTAGGAACACATCCAACACAGCCGCATTAATAAGACGAAGCTGGAAGCTGCCGGAGCAACAAACATTTGCAATCAAAAGTTTAATACGCCGTGAATTCATTACACGTCCAATGAATGATCCTGCCAGCCTCCCCAGCCTCCCTAGCCTCCCTAGCCTCCCCAGCCTCCCTCGCCCTAGCTCCTTGAACATCCTTGTTAGTCTGTTATTTTGGTCCTTTCTTTCTTTCTTTCTCCTCTCTCATAAGATACAATTTATTGCCCTCATGTACGAGGTGAACAAAACACACATACATATGTAAGGAGTGTGGAGTCACACACACACACACTCGCATATCCTTGTGTATCCTGTAGAAAAGAAGCCCATGACCTTCGGCGTTTTTGGCGGCCATTGCATGGCTGAGGATTTCGCTTTTCCTTTGGCTTCCAGTCTGAGTCCTGCCTTTGAGTCCTGCCTGCCCCCCAGTTGTTAGTTGTTTTCTGGCGAAAAGGTCCTGTTAAGGCCTCCTCCCCCTCCCCCTTGGTAATCACTCCTTTCCCGCCCAGTCGCCCACTGAAAAGGCGGTGAAAGCCAGCAAGAGAGAGAGAGAGAAAGAGTGTGTAGAGAGAGAGAGAGCGCCTATTGACAGTCAGGATGTCTGGCATGTGTCAAAATACAGTTAAGGACGAAAGAGAGAGAGAGGGAGAGAGAGAGGTTAGGGGGGTCAGACAGAGTCGCCACCAACAAATTATAAGCCAAAAACATATTCAGCCAGCAGGATCCTGGCTGGAGGAGGGGGGAGGAGTGGCTGGAGGATGTCCTGGGCTGCGTCATGCATTCGCATTCAATGATGACGCGAAGCCACAGCAGGCGACGCCCAAAGCCCACACAGAGAGAAACAGATTGGAGGGCATATACTCCTCCTAAAACTAGAGATTCTTCTATTTTGTTCAGTGTCCTTTTCCAGCCCCCCAACCGCCCCCTCTACCCGAAAAATAAAAGCCAAAACCAAACAAAAGGGAAAACGCGAAAAAAAAGGACGAGAAGGATAAGATAGGACGAAACTACCAGCAGTAGTATACCCACAGTATGTGGGAGATATTTATGATGATGACTTTCATAAGGGGGACAGGACCAAAAGGACCACAGGACCAAAAGGGGGGTGGGGTGGCCGAAGAGCAAAGGACCAAAAAGCGACCACACCCCGAAAATATAGGCGTTTTCCGACGCTTTCCGATTTCGAATTGCTGATTTTTGCTTCCGCACGTCCTTCCACCTCCCTGTCGTTCTGTTATCCTGCCACCCCCTAGCACACCCCCCCCTTTAGACACCCCTCCTCCCTCCTGTATGACTTTAACAGTTGGGGGATTTGTTGCTTCCGCGATCCTGAAACATTAAAAATAATTAAAAGTGAGGAAATTCACGGGCAGGAGCAGAAGCAACAGCAACAGCAGGATGTGAAAAAGTAGCAGACGGTGCAGAGGACATGCCAGGCCAGACCAGGCCAGGCCAGGCCAGGACGAAGGTGCCAGGAGAGAGTAGGAGTTGCCGTCGGCAGCCGGTGTCCCATTTAATTTATGTAGAATGGCAAATTGCTCACAAATTGAATCTGTGTGAACAACATAACTTGGAATAATATGATTTGAAGGAACCAAACACACACACCGACACACACACACACACATACACTCACCATATACATATATCTTTATTAGATTTTCTACTCTTTAGTAATTTTCTTCGCCCATCGAATAATTTATCAGCCTGAGCTTTAAATTGCCGGAAGTTGCAGGACGAAGAAAAAAAAAAAAAAAGGACACACCTTTTATTTTCAATCTCGGCAAGGAGTTGAACAAAAGGACTTGTGGGTGTCCTTGTACATATCAACTCAAGCGCAGAGCGCAACTATAGCATACTTTTCTGGGCTTCCCCCCACCCCCCCGTTATGCCACTGCGGCGGCCATAACAAATTAGTAGCGGAAACGGAAATGGCGGAAAACGTCAATGACGACTGTTGGCTGTTGCTGTTCGTTGTTGCCATTTCTGCAGATGTTGCAAGCGTGCGTGGGTGGGATGGTATGGACTATGGGTTATTAAGGACTCCCCTTTTTTTTCTTTAAAGGATACTCCCTCATCACTAACCAAAGAAAACCCATTTTATTTTTTTTGTAAAAAATACTCACAGAATCCAATGCCAACATAGTAACTTAACGGAGCAGCAAAAGGATATCCGGCAGCAGCAGGAGAGAAGCAAGAAAGCAACCCAAGTCCATCCATCCAGGCATCGGAACTGATCCAGATGCACTAGAGAAGAGTCGCAGTAAGGATACCCGAGACGGCCCAGTCAAGTCCCAGTCATGCTGCTCAGTCGCGTTAAGCTGAAATGGAGGAGCAGCGGGTGGAATGGCTCCTCCCATAACGCCACGAACGAACACCACCAGAACAACCACCAGAAGGACCTTCACCAGAACCACCACCACCATCATGATGATGATGATCCGATCACTGCCAGCCGACAGCACAATATTACCAACAGATCCGCACATCCGCCGCCCGTTCGGGGGCTGTTACTGCCGTTGCTTTTGGTGGCGAGCCTGCTGGCCAGCCAGGCGGAGGCACTGCGTCTCACCAACGGCGGCAGCAGTCTCAGCAAAGGAGCGGCCGCCAACAAGGAGCAACTGAACATCGGCCTGATCGCGCCGCACACGAACTTCGGGAAGCGGGAGTACCTGCGGAGCATCAATAATGCGGTGACAGGACTCACCAAGACGCGCGGTGCCAAGCTCACCTTCCTCAAGGACTACTCCTTCGAGCAGAAGAACATACACTTTGACATGATGTCCCTGACGCCAAGTCCAACAGGTGAGTCCTTCTGTATATATCCTAGTAGTCCTAGTTCTCAGTGTAGTCTCAGTAAGAAAGGTCCTGCCATTTGGTTTATTGTCCAGAGTGGCGAGGACCTCCTGCGATTCACGATTCGTCGCGGAATGCGTAACACCTGGAAAGTCCTTTAATTACGTTCACCGTTCACCGTTATAATGGCCATTAATTTTAAGCTACTTAACCCCTTTTCTTCGCCTCCTCGGCTACTCCTCCGCAATAAAGGCGAAATGAGAAAGGGCGGGGCAGTGGGAAAAGGAATCTGAAGGATGCCAGGCTCAGGAGCGAGTGAAATACAGGATCAAAGTAGTGTCAGGCCGTCAAGGATGTCAGGTTTCTCAGGTTTCTCAGGACTCTCTAAACGGGCGAGAGTTAAGGGCTTAAGTTTAGCCTTTAAAAAGTTTAATATACCAGATAGAGAAATCCTTTGGCAAGGACCTCTGCCAAGAACCTCTGCCAAGGACCAAGTTAGTATGCATTTCCAGGAATGGCTGATTTTTCAGGATATTCGCTGAGACCAAACCCAAACGAATTTGCAATCAACTTTAAATGATTATTATTGCCAAGGACCAAGGACCTTGAGCGCAGGACATGCCCTATAGAAGACTATATGGAACAGAATCGATAACCAAATTATCGGCAGAGACAAGTCGGATGTGATATTCGTGGGGAAAATGGAAATTGAATTCAATCCTAATGCCAGACTGAAGCTGTCAATCTAATTGAATCCTTTAAGGACACAGAAAGGATGCTTACAATTTATATTAGAAAGCTAAGGGAGGAAGGGGAGATCCCAACATGTAGTTGTCCTGTGGGATTATTTTGTGTGAAAATAATTTCATCTAAAATGATATTACCTTAACCTCCAGACACAACAACAAACGATTCTGCTAGCCAGCATCCTGAGTAAAGTGGTTTTGTGGCCAAGGACTCCACTCCACTCAACTTGTGTGGCCCGTCCTGTCCTTTTGGGCCATAAACCTTGATGGCCCGGTTATCGAGTTTGGCTCATTTTCTGCCTGATGTCAGGGGAGAATTAAGGACAAACACCTTAGCCATGTCCTTTGGAAAGAAATTTAAACATTTATTTATTTTTAGTCGAGCCTCTATCGCATCATCATGATTAGATATCCTTTGAAATGTGCTCCAAGTACTGGCAGTTTGCGTTAATTGAACGTTTGTCTGCAATTAAGATCGACACAAGTTCCTCGTCCTGCGTCCTTCGTCCTTCGTCCTGTGTCTATGTTTAATGTAAACTGTTGTCGGTTGGCTGTCATGTTCGAAACAACATCCAACACAGCGCCTTCTTATTCCGACACGGATGCAAATGATGACTGACACGGTCCTTGATTTCAAAGGACATGAATGGACATAAAGGATGCGACTGCCAACTGGCATTGCGAATGCAAGCCAATGAAAGGATAATTAAATGAGCTCCCACTGCCTTGTCCAAGTTACTCAATTCATTGAGAATCCTGGGCCGGGACCAATCCAGGGCACTTTGCCAAATGAAATATTATGTTGCAGGATCGTCCAGGACTCGCCCATTCATATATCATTCCATTGTGAGTGTCTGGAAAACTCCGATACTCCGATATCAGGGACAAGTCATTTTTTACTTGTCATCCTGCTTACGGGCTTGGGTCCTGGCATCCGTGCTCAGCTGAGCCGAGCTGTCCTTCAATTGATTGTCCTTCAGTCGAAGTGGCCGCAGTCCTGTGTGTGTGTGGGGTCGTTATTATTAGCCACTGACCCGCGATTACTGGAGGTGTGGATTGGCCAGCACCTTGTCAGCATCCAGCATCCTGGCCGTAATAAGCTTTTGAAGCCAAGGGGGGTTCCTGCCATTAACAGTTATCGCTTTGCACACCTGCCCAGTGTCCTTTCACCTCCCATCACCCATCAGCCCATCAGCCATCCCACATCCTGTTTATCCTCTGACTCTGAACTATGCAAATTGTGAGGAAAATCGTAAATTGTTTCTCCCTCTATGCATTCCCAGGACATTCAGATAGTACTTGTATTGTCCTGCTCGAAGGAGGAGGGGGGAGGGGAGGGGAGGGAAGGGGGCAAATTCTAAACAAATTCCTCGCAAGAAAGGACATTTATTGAAAAGCCAAGTCGGGCATTGTAATGGCCCGACGTGTGGCATTGTATCCTTGCAGAGAATGGAAAGCAGTTTATGACTGAAAGCAGGCGACTTTTTCAAGGATACGATACCCGGTACTGGCCAGGATTAAGCCACAAATTTCCCTCTCTCTCTCAAGCCAAAAACCAAAATCAGAAGGAGTCACTTGCAGGTCAAAAATGACCCTCAAGCGTATTCGTCCTGCCTGGGTCCTGCCTTTTCATTTTTCTGCCTTTTCTGGTGAATGCCCCGCCCACTGGCCACTGGACTTTTGAAGTAAGGATATATATGTATATGTGTGTGTGTGGGTGTGTGTGTGTGGAGGAGCCAGTAGCCTACGGCTCCTGCGGTTGATGTCCTGCCGGACAGAAGGCAGTTAGTCTGGTTTGGGTTTCAGTTTTGCTTTTCAATTTGCCAGTGTCCTGCGAACTTGTGACCTTTCTCCAACACAGACAGTCCTTACAGCTTTTCAGAATTATTTAAAATATTAAAAAATTCCCAAATTTCGACAGGATGTTTCGATGCAGGACCTCGGTGCAGGTGCAGAGATTTTAATTAAATTCTATTTTCAATGCATCGTTGTGGCCTGCGACACTTCGGTCAGGGGGGGGATGTCCTTTTAAAACAAATAAGTCGAAAAATTAAGGATAAGAAGGGCAAGGCAAGTTGGCAGGACTAGACAAGGACATGAGGCGGAAAAAAGAGCATCCTCGCAGCCCTTGGCATCTCCTCGGAGCGAAAACTGGCATAGTTGCCAAGTTTTCAAGTTTTCCTTTCCAGCACCCGTTGCATGCCACACATCCTTCACTTGTCTATCTATCTACGAGTGTGTGTGTGTGTATGGGAGTGTGTATGTGTGTATGTGTGTGTGTGCTAAATAGTTCACGTGCTAAAGTCGTCCTAGTAAAGGACATGAAATGCGGGGAATCATCTGGCAACACTTTGATATTCGATAAGATGGTTCTTTTTTTGGACGGACACTCGTACCTTATCGCTATGTCCTGCGTCGTCCTGTCGTCCTGTCGCCCCATTATTCGCCATCATAAGGATTTCGGCAAGACTGTCTCTGTGTGTGTATTGGGGCGCTAGTGACGTCATGTTATAAAATATGCGTCAAGTTTCCATCGCATAGCTTCGAGTTTGCTTAAGTTTCCTCCTGCCACTCGTCCTTTTCGTCCTGCTCCTGTTTCGGCTCCTGTTTTTCTCCGCCAAATATGCCATTTTTTTTTCCTTTTTTTTTTTTGCATGCCACGCCCATGTCAGTTGTGAGAGTGTGTGTGTGTGTGTGTGCTAATGTTTGAATGGCAGGAAAATTGCTGCCACCAGGATAAGGGTATGAGTGTGTGTGTGTGTGTGAAGGATGCCTATTCTGATGTCTGATGAGGTCAGAACTATAAAATCATCTAAAGAATTTCGAGTTTTTGGAAATAGTTGTTTTGAAATTTTAAGATTTCTCCTCCTGATTCCTAAATGTCCTTTTACTCCCCCGGAAGCCTGGAATCTGGTTATTCCAATTAGGATACAGTCAGGTTGAGAGCTTCAGGCTTTCAGTTCGATATTCAGCGGAGTGGATGGAGTGGATGGAGTGGGTGGAGTGCCACTGCCTGCTTCACTGATTCCTGCTGACGAAGCTAAAACATTTTCCTGGCCAGGATGCGGGAATTAAATTGGCTTTCGGCTTTCGGTGTCTGTATCGGTTTCGGTTTTTGGTTTTGGTTTTCGGTTTCGTTTTCGGTTTTGGGATCTAAACCACCAACCAGGAGGACCCCAAGGCGACAGGCCCCTAATCGAGCGTTATTCTAAATTATCGACAAGGAAACCGAATCCGAGCCGGAATTGAGATTTGGTGAGATGGCAGGAGAGTGTGTGTGTCCTCCAGAGACTGGCTGGCAAGGACATCGGAACCCCTTTACTTTTTGTCAGGCAAGTTGTGATAACGAAGGCAATTGAATGATGCTTAAATGAAATTAATGGATGTTATAATAAGTTGACAGAGTCGCTTCCTGCTCGCAGGACCTAAAAGCTGACAAGGACATGAGGGGACAGGGACAGGGACAGGCAGGCAGTCTCTTCAGGCAAGTCACGCTGACAGCTGTCAGCTGCCTCACACTCGTGCCACCGACTCCTTGCCACCTTGCCACCGACTTCTTATTCTGTACTTTGTCAGAGGCACCAGAAATAATCAGCTCGAGGTGGTCCTGCAACTGCCACTTGCCACTTGCCGCTTTCCACTTTCCACTTGGTGCTTGGTACTTGCCACTGGTGGTACTTGTCTGCCACTGCCGCTTTGACAGTCAAATTGAGGCGGCATTCAGTGTCAAAATTCAATTTTCCCCCCATTACAATAGGCTGGAAGGAATGTGTTCCTTGAAAGAAGAGTCCTTAAAACAGGCACACCCAAGGAGGTGGTGGTATAATAATGCAATTACAAGACGCTTTATGCAAGTAATTAAATTTTTAATGGATGATTTGAAGGATACTCCCCCCCTTACAAACGAAATTAATTTCGGTGTCAAGTGAGTTTCTATTTATGTTTTTTTTTTGTTGAAAAATATGCCGACCCATCGATCTATCACTGTGCCTTTGTGGTTTGGAGGCCTATCCCCCCCCATCATCTCTCCAGTGACTATATAGAAAATGGTAATTGAATGCATGGCTGACAGAGGGGGCGGTGGGGGACTATCCGAAGGGAAAACTTAGGAGAACATATATAGCACCCGCAGGACTGGGTCCCTCCAGCCTCTATCCTGTCATTGCTGAAATGTAGATAGCAGAAGTAAAGTGATGAAAAAGTTAATTAAACTTTTTGATGAGATTTCACATTTTTGCCAAAGTATTGACAGACGGCTGACAGTCCTGACAGCAACTCCTCCCCTTAGAAGGGGGGGATGGATAGCAGGGGGATTGTCAAGGACTTGACAATGTCTTGTCATCGATTTCCTTGGAAAATATTGTTTTTTTTTTTTGTTTAGAAATTTTATATCCAGCGAGGGTTTATTTGAAATAATTATACAGATTTTCATGTGGTTGTGGTGTTGAAATTTTCAGACCTAAACCACCCACACAGCCACCTAACCTAACCTAACCCAACCACCCAACCACATCCCTATCCACAGGACCTCCCTCATCATCGTAACCCGTTTAAGTAGGTCAATTAGCGAGTGGTGCGTATAGCTGTAGAGCCCCCCCACCAGGCCCCAAAACCTGCCCCACTTTGATTCGGTTTCAGGCGTGGCACCATGCCTCCCCCCCTCCTCTTTTGGACCGTAAAACAAGCTGGAAAGGTGGCTAATCTGCAATTAATTGCCACACATCTGTACACAAGACACGCACGAGCAGAGATTGGGATTGTGATTTCCATCAGAAGGGGGATGGGGGGTCAGAGGTTACTGGGTCAGAGAGGGTTACCATATATACAATCTAATTTAGTTTCGACAGGGCCCTCGAATAAAAATGGGGGCGTTAACCGAAAGCCAATAATGATGACTGATATCCATTTTCGTTCCAGCGATTCTGAGCACTCTGTGCAAGGAGTTCCTGCGCGTCAACGTCTCCGCCATCCTGTACATGATGAACAACGAACAGTTCGGTCACAGTACCGCCTCGGCCCAGTACTTCCTCCAGCTGGCTGGGTACCTGGGCATACCGGTGATCTCGTGGAATGCCGACAACTCTGGCCTGGAGCGAAGGGCCTCCCAGTCGACGCTGCAACTCCAACTAGCGCCCAGCATAGAGCACCAGAGCGCCGCCATGCTGAGCATCCTGGAGCGGTACAAGTGGCATCAGTTCTCGGTGGTCACCTCCCAGATCGCCGGCCACGATGACTTCGTTCAGGCGGTGCGGGAGCGGGTGGCCGAGATGCAGGAGCACTTCAAGTTCACCATCCTGAACTCGATTGTGGTGACCCGGACGAGTGACCTGATGGAGCTGGTCAACAGCGAGGCCCGGGTGATGCTGCTCTACGCCACCCAGACGGAGGCCATCACCATTCTGCGGGCCGCCGAGGAGATGAAGCTCACCGGGGAGAACTATGTGTGGGTGGTGAGCCAGTCGGTGATCGAGAAGAAGGATGCCCACTCCCAGTTCCCGGTCGGCATGCTGGGCGTTCACTTCGACACCTCCAGTGCGGCCCTCATGAACGAGATCTCGAACGCCATCAAGATCTACAGCTACGGGGTGGAGGCCTATCTCACGGATCCGGCCAACAGGGACAGGCGTCTCACCACCCAGTCGTTGTCCTGCGAGGACGAGGGACGCGGTCGCTGGGACAATGGAGAAATGTGAGTGATCCGAGTAGAGTATTCCTACCCAGAGTTGGTCTTGATCCTTAGAGCGGGTTTTTTGGTCCAGGAAAGTATATCCTCCTCTAACCTTTGACCTGCTGTCTCTCGTAGCTTCTTCAAGTACCTCCGCAACGTCTCCATCGAGGGTGATCTCAACAAGCCGAACATCGAGTTCACGGCGGACGGGGATCTGCGCTCCGCCGAGCTCAAGATCATGAACCTCCGGCCCAGCGCCAATAACAAGAACCTCGTCTGGGAGGAGGTAAGTGGAGCGTTCGCTTTCGGCATGCTTTTTTCGCTCACATTCCTTACGTCTTCCTTACTGTTTTCTTAACTGTTCCGATCCTGAATCCGATCCTGAAATCCGCACCTTTCTTGCACCGCTTTGTAAATTATGCCACCACTACCAACCACCTATGCCAACCACCAACCATCAACCATCATGTCCTCCAATCCGATCCAATCCGATTGGGGAGGGCAGATTGGAGTATGGAAGTCGTGGGAGACACAGAAGCTGGACATTCGCGACATTGCGTGGCCCGGCAACTCACATGCCCCGCCCCAGGGCGTGCCGGAGAAGTTCCACTTGAAGATAACGTTCTTAGAGGAGGCACCCTATATCAATCTGTCGCCCGCTGATCCCGTGAGCGGTAAATGCCTGATGGACCGCGGTGTCCTGTGCCGTGTGGCAGCGGATCACGAAATGGCCGCCGATATCGATGTGGGCCAGGCACACCGCAACGAGTCCTTCTACCAGTGCTGCAGCGGCTTCTGCATCGATCTGCTAGAGAAGTTTGCCGAGGAACTCGGCTTCACTTATGAACTGGTTCGGGTCGAAGATGGTAAATGGGGTACCCTCGAGAATGGCAAGTGGAACGGCCTGATCGCCGACCTGGTTAACCGCAAAACGGACATGGTCCTCACCTCCCTAATGATCAACACGGAGCGGGAGGCGGTCGTTGATTTCTCGGAGCCCTTCATGGAAACGGGCATCGCCATTGTGGTGGCCAAGCGGACGGGCATCATCTCGCCCACAGCCTTCCTGGAGCCCTTCGACACCGCATCCTGGATGCTGGTAAGTTTTGCTCCACCCCTTCTATCCCCACTCTCTCTCTCTCTCAGTCCTCCTCATGCGGGTAAGTCTCTTCCTTCCTTCTTCTCCGAACCATCCGTTTAGGTGGGAATCGTGGCCATCCAAGCGGCCACCTTCATGATCTTCCTGTTCGAATGGCTCTCGCCCAGCGGCTACGACATGAAGCTGTACCTCCAGAACACCAACGTGACCCCGTATCGGTTCTCCCTGTTCCGCACCTACTGGCTGGTGTGGGCCGTGCTCTTCCAGGCCGCCGTCCATGTGGACTCGCCGCGCGGCTTCACCTCCCGCTTCATGACCAATGTCTGGGCCCTCTTCGCTGTGGTATTCTTGGCCATCTACACTGCCAACCTAGCCGCCTTCATGATAACCAGGTTGGTTTTTTGACTTAGTCTCTCTGGTATCCTCGATCTGAGTACTTGTCTGTGTCCGCAGGGAGGAGTTCCACGAGTTCAGCGGGTTGAACGACACCCGGCTGGTGCATCCCTTCTCCCACAAGCCCTCCTTCAAGTTCGGCACCATCCCCTACAGCCACACCGACTCGACAATCCACAAGTACTTTAATGTCATGCACAACTACATGCGCCAGTAAGTCCCCTTGGATCACCTAGGATTACCCAGATCTTGATCTGAATCCTCCTCCTTACAGATACAACAAGACCAGCGTGGCCGATGGCGTGGCTGCCGTTTTGAACGGCAACTTGGACTCCTTCATCTACGACGGCACTGTGCTGGACTACCTGGTGGCCCAGGACGAGGATTGCCGGCTCATGACAGTGGGCAGTTGGTACGCCATGACGGGTAAGCAGATGGACGCTAGAGGATCTTCCAAAAAGTAATATTCTCCCTTCTCTAGGATATGGCCTGGCCTTCAGCAGGAACTCCAAGTACGTACAGATGTTCAACAAGCGACTCCTCGAGTTCCGGGCCAATGGTGATCTGGAGCGACTGCGCCGATACTGGATGACGGGCACGTGTCGTCCCGGGAAGCAGGAGCACAAATCCTCCGATCCGCTGGCCCTCGAGCAGTTCTTGTCCGCCTTCCTGCTCCTGATGGCCGGCATCCTGCTGGCGGCCCTGCTCCTCCTCCTCGAGCACGTCTACTTCAAGTACATCCGGAAGAGACTGGCCAAGAAGGATGGCGGTCACTGCTGCGCCCTCATCAGCCTGTCGATGGGCAAGTCGCTGACGTTTCGCGGCGCCGTCTACGAGGCCACGGAGATCCTCAAGAAGCATCGCTGCAACGATCCCATCTGCGACACCCATCTCTGGAAGGTGAAGCACGAGCTGGACATGTCCAGGCTGCGGGTGCGCCAGCTGGAGAAGGTCATGGACAAGCACGGCATCAAGGCACCGCAGTTGAGGTGGGTTTTCTTGGAAGAATCTCCCTAAAGCATATCCTTATGAGCATATCCTTCACAGGCTGGCTTCGTCCTCCGACCTATTGAATCACCATCATCTGAAGGAGCGACCGCCGCTGCTGGGGAATCTGAGTCTAGCCGCCAGTGCCCAAGATCTATACAGGTGGTAAGTTTTTTTATGCATGTCTTGGTGTTACTCTTGCACTCATCCCTGCCCACATCCTACCCTGCCTAGTAGTGTCCTTGCCCTGCCTAGTGACCTTGTCCTGCCTAGTGTCCTTTCCCTGCCTGCTGTTAATTAAATATCCCTTCGCATTGATTTGGATTTTGAGGGAATTATGTTTATTTAATTACTAGATCCCATCACACACTATATTTGAAAAGGGGGATTCCCCGCCCGAAAGTCCCTGGTGTTAGTTCCATTATCAAAGGACTCTGTTGTCATCCAATCAGTCCTGCCCCCGAACCATAGACCCAGACTGTTTGAAAATAAAGCTATTGTCTTTGTCCGGATTATAAGCGGATTGTGTGCCAACGTGGAGGATGGCATATCACAGCCAGACAATGGCCAGGACCTCCTCCTCCTCCTGCCTGGCCAACATGGCCGGCAATTAATGGATCAGGATCCAAACAAACCAATACCAGCTAACGCTTCAGGTCAACTGGACAAGTCAGTCAATCATTTACTCGTCAAAAACCACTCGTGGCATGAGCGGGGGGGGATGGCTCCTGCTCAGGTTTCACTCTAAAAAGGATACTAAGGGGGACCAGAGCGGAAAGAGGATAGCCAACAATTGCCCATTTCAATTGTTTGGGTCTTTAAATTCCCCCCAAAAAAAAATATATATATGAATCCTTTTTGGGGGCAATCCTTTGTGCCTGCCAGACTTGTGTAGTTTGAAGGATTCGCATTTGCTTTTTGGGCACTAATTTATTTACAAGCCAGAAGGACTTGAATGCTCCCGAGCCATTAGGCTCTGATTGATTGATGATGGTGCTAGGATCCTGGGGTCCTTGGGCTTTAATTCTACCTATTCCCTGCCCGTTATGACTAATGTTTTCGATTTTCCAACAAAACAAGAAACCACACAGCACATAAGTATGCTAATTTTTTGTTCAGTTCAAAGTTCAGAAAGCACTCTCTCTCTCTCTCTCGCATGTTGGTTACTGTTACTTTTTATTTGTTAATGTTTGTGGGTGTGTGTGTGGAGTGCCCTTAAGTATTTTCTCTACTAACTCTAGGGAAAACGTTCTTTTCTCCAAAAACAACAACACAACCAATTACAGGTCGTACAAGACGGAAATAGCCGAGATGGAGACGGTGCTTTGAAGAGTTGAGAGAAACGGAAACGGAAGTGGAAGTGGAACTGCCATGAACAGGAACTGGATCGCTCACCCCTGGATACGCACACACCCGCCACACCACTACCACTACCACTACTCCCACTCCCACTCCCACTCTCAGTCCACCACCTACCGTAACAGGTGCCGTTTTTTGGGGCTAGTGGGGGCTAAGGGCATTGGAATTATAGAGCCAGTGCATCAAATCAAAATCAACGTTTCAAAAAGTATGTTAACTAGCAAGGAGGATAACACGAAGGGAGCCTCACCTATAACTGCACACACACACACACAAGCCCAAAACCAAGTAAATCCAAAGAGTGTATAAAATTTAAACTATAAAACTAAATGTATAACTTAAAAAACAAAAATAATGAATAACTTAAAACCTAATTGAGAAAAAAAAAGGAAAACCAAACCAAAAGCCGCCGCCGCACGAGTACTTCATAAACTAAGTTTTAAACCAAAACGAAAAAGGATAATCGATTAACGATAAACGATAAACGATAAACGATAAAGTATAAAGGATAAAGGAGACCTAGATCAACCGTTACATTTTTGGCGATTGAACTGTTAACAAAAGAACCTTAAACAAAAAAAAGAAAACAAAAAGAAAACCAAAAGAAAGTGCAAGGAGTGACAGAAGAGTGGCAGAAGAAAGTGTCCCCAAGATCCCCAACATAAGAAAACGAGAATGTTTGTATGTAATCTGTTTGATTGTTTGTGATTGTTGTTTTGTTTGTTGTCCTTTTTTGGATAGTAAGAATTTACCAAAATTATGCTTAATTAATAAAAAATCCATATACATACATCTATATATACATAAACAGTATCGTAATCGAAAAGGGGTGGTGCAGATTGCCGAGATCCCCCAACCCCCCCTTCCCCCCATATACAATGTACACAAAATTTATATGTATTTACCTTGCTATGATTACGACGATATACATAAATGTTATTGCATATTCACATACATAACTATTCAAGGATCAAAATCCGAACAAAAAGATAACAAATATTTACAAATGGATGTTTTATATATTTTCTCTGATTTTCATAGAAAGAAAAAAAAACACAAAAAACAAAAAGAAAAATGCTTATGTGCCGCCAAAATCAAAATTATAATTTTTTATATCCTTGCAGTGAAGCTTTTTTTAGTGAGATCGTAACTTTGATCGTAAAATGGCAGCCAAAACAACACGAGAGATGGTCACACTTTCTTAGATCACCTATTCATACGCTTTCCAACACTGACATTTAATTTATGGTGATTTCCACTGCAAGGATATAGAAAAGCACACCTTTGATAATCGAAATCTCTCCAGAAGATTATCTACAATCGTGGCTTCTTTATTTTTTAGTTGCTCTTTACCGCTTCGCTAGAGAACCGTTAGCTTTTAATCATCGTCTTTGTTTTGATTTCGCTTTCACTTTGCTCGCTCGCCGTTAGAGAAAGGGCGACTTTGCTTTCTAGTTCGTGTGCCACACACACACACTCACACCCAACACACACACATCTTCATGCACCCACAGACACCAACATAAATGGAAATATGAATAAAACGAATGTAATTTTAAATGTGCATTGTTGTTGTGAGGAGCAAAACATGCTTAATCAGAATTAAATTAAGCTCCAATTTTCAAATTGAATTAAAAATGTATGTACAAAGGGTAACAAGTGAAGATGATAAAAAAAAAGAAATAACTAACAATCGAAGAGTATATGTACCAGAGACCAGGCATATAGGAGGAAGAGGCAGCATTATATAACTGTTTGTGTTAATATTTTTTATGTGTTTCTTCTATGTGTTTAGTGATGATAAATAAGATAAACTAAAGCAAAGATCTAACTGTAAAGGACGGGCATCCATAAAGTCGCATCTCCAAAAGCTGGTGAGTTTGTGGGTTTATCGGTTTCCCTCCTAGAGATCGTAGAGATACTAAAAGACGAGTCGGAGATGGGAGCTTTCTGGAAGCTCATCCTGCCAAAGAAATTAAAAAAAAAAAAAAAAAACCAAAAGCAAAACAATTCATGTAAGAATTTTAAATCGTTGTGCCAATTATAAGAAGGCATCTTTAATCACACATACATACAAACCAAACACACGCGTACGTATTCATGTGTGTGTGCTTCTTTCAGGACCTTTTCGTTATCTTTATATAGTTATACCGTTATGCGTTCAAATGCCTGTTCTTATTTCCGTTAGAAACGAGAGCGCTGAAGTGAACGAGATAGCGACACAACACGCGACAAAAAACAAACAAACAAAACCAACCAATAAAACAAACGAACTAACTAACAAACAGGACAGAAACAACAAAAAAAAAACAAAATGTTAACAGAAAAAAACACGAAACAAAACAAAGGAACTTATTGAGTTTTATTTGCAAAAGAGTGATTTTTTATAGTGGATATATTTTATACACAAGTTACGGATGGATGGAACGGAGAACATAGTGAAATGTTAATTATTACGTATATGTATATATTTTTTAATACAAATTGTTCAGATTTGTTATACGAGTACTAAACAAGAGCGAGTAACAATGGAGGAGGAGGAGAAGGATCTTGCAGACATCTTAGAGTTAAAGCCCGAAAACCAATCGTGGCGGGATGATGATGGGGTGGAGGAAGTAACAAATAGGGTGGCAAGAGGACGAAGATGGAAGTATGAGAAAACAAAACCCTTTACGGACAAATTAAAACAAGTAAAAAAAGTTAACATTACATTATATAAGTAGTTAGTAATTTAAAACTAAACCCAAGAAAAAATAAGCTAAATCACGAAAGATGATACTAAAAGAATGGAAAATGGAAAAATGTTTATGAATATAAAAAAGGATTTTTTTTAGTATTATTAATGTTATTAATTTACGAGTACGAATAACGAACGGGAAGCGGTATGAATTAAAACACTCCCAGACAGAGTCACACATTCACACGAATAACGAGTGCATTTTTTTAGGTGTTGAATATCAGAAACATAAAATAAAAAAAAAAACAAATATATAAAACCGAATCAATTTTTAAACGCAAAGATATTTCCTCGATCATAACGACGAATCAGTGAATCTGAATCCAAATCAGAATCTATTCGAAAATATGTAACCTGAGCATAAATGAGATAGTAACGACAGCAGATCGTTTTTAAGTTACTAACACAACATCCAAACATATTTTATTCAGCCAGGCGAACTCAAAAATCTAAACTCGAAAACGAAATTGGACGAGGAACGTTTCACGTACATAAAATTTAGCAAATGAAATATGCGTACATTGTTGTGGTAGTTACGGATGGCGAGGAGCATACACGTAATTTAAAATATAAACAAACCAACTTGCAATAAATGTGTATACAAAAATCAAGTGTTTTCAATGATTAGGGTATCTGGGAAATATTACTTATTCCATGTTCACCTACATGGAATTGGTGGTAGTTGGCGGTATAGTTCCAATTCCGATACTCACCACAGTTAATAACGGCTATACCTATCATCGATAGTGTACATCGATAAGTTTTGCTACTATCGAAATTCACCCATCACTTTAACGACCTACTATCGGAGATTTTTTCTAGTGTGACCAAACTGTAATTTTCGAAAAATATATATCCAGTGTTGCCATATCTGGGGGCGACTGCAATTCAACATCGTTTATCGACTTCCCTTCAATCGGCCATTTTGTCAAAACTCCCAGCGGCATCCAGACGTAAGTTCCATAAATCTTCCTATTTTTTTTTTTCAAGTTACAATACTTTTATAAGTGAAATATGAACTACCAAGTGCCGCCCAAAGATATGAAAGCGTTTATTGCTCGAAAACCGTCAAAGCACAGTCAAATTCCATAGAAAAAGTGATTTTTTTTTTGCGCACGTGGAGATGGCGGAATTTTGAGGTTGTGTTGAGTCGACCGACTAAAATTTTTTGTTTTGTGTCTTAAATATTGCAGGTTCCGTAACTCTCACCACGTTAACATGTCGGGAGGCTTAGATATTCTGTCCCTCAAAGAGGACGACATCACCAAGATGTTGGTGGCCACTACCCACTTGGGCTCCGAGAACGTCAACTTCCAGATGGAGCAGTACGTCTACAAGCGCCGTGCTGACGGTGTCAACATCATCAACCTGGGCAAGACCTGGGAGAAGCTGCAGTTGGCTGCCCGTGCCATCGTGGCCATCGACAACGCTTCTGATGTGAGTATATGATCCTCCCATGTGGTCTCAGAACTTTTCCCTCCCAGAGGCGTGGCTGCACGTGATGATTTTGTAATCTTTCGGGTATGAAATGCAATGATTTCACTTTTAACGCTGATCAGCCAAGCCTCACTATGGATGAGGAATACTCAACCATTCTGTTTTCTGAAAGAAACTAACGAAAATACTCCATCTCGTCCAGGTCTTCGTCATCTCGTCGCGTCCCATTGGTCAGCGTGCCGTGCTGAAGTTCGCCAAGTACACCGACACCACCCCGATTGCTGGCCGCTTCACTCCCGGTGCCTTCACCAATCAGATCCAGCCCGCTTTCCGCGAGCCCCGTCTGTTGGTGGTGACCGATCCCAACACTGACCACCAGCCCATCATGGAGGCCTCGTACGTCAACATCCCCGTGATTGCCTTCACCAACACTGACTCGCCCTTGCGTTACATCGATATCGCTATCCCATGCAACAACAAGTCTGCTCACTCCATCGGTCTGATGTGGTGGCTCTTGGCCAGGGAGGTGCTCCGTCTTCGCGGCACCATCTCTCGCTCCGTTGAGTGGCCCGAGGTGGTTGATCTGTTCTTCTACCGCGATCCCGAGGAGGCCGAGAAGGAGGAGGCTGCCGCCAAGGAGCTTCTGCCACCACCCAAGATTGAGGAGGCTGTGGATCATCCCGTCGAGGAGACCACCAACTGGGCCGATGAGGTTGCTGCCGAGACTGTCGGTGGAGTGGAGGACTGGAACGAGGACACCGTCAAGACCTCCTGGGGCAGCGATGGCCAGTTCTAAGGAACAGTGGCTGACAATGACATCCGTTTCTGTGGCGGCATAAATAAACATCTTTTGTTTTTCCACCTATATATAAACCCATAATTGTTTTTCACGCATAGAGATCCTAAGATATAGTCCGTAGGATATAGAAGAAAAGACCAGATAGTGTTGGGAAAACGATAGCTTTAACTTTTACTGAAAATGCCTTAAATGTCAAACAAGTAGCACCTTAGGAACAAGGACTAAGAACTAGAGGTAGATGATAATCCTACTATCTGATTTGGGCCCTTAAGGCTATTCCGCTGGGTATTTCCACGTTGTTCACCTGGAGCAGCTGCACCAAGTTGCGCAGGAACTCCTGGGAGACCTTCAGTTCGTCGTCCGCCTCCAGGCGCTCGAAGAGATCCAACGCTGCCTCAAAGTCGTTGGCCCGACTGAACTGGGCCAGCAGCAAGTCATAGATCCGCTGCTCGTCGATGGTCCTCTGGACACCGCGCACTCCTCTGGCCAAACGCAGAAGCGTTCGCACCGCACCCTCCTGACCCAGGTGCTCACAGTTCTTCACCAGCAGCTCGTGGTTTAGCCGGAACTCCGGGTTGATGATCAGCCGGCGCAGCTGAGACTCTGTTCCCGACTCCGCCAGGGCCAGTAGCAGGGCGCTGTTCATGTTCGCCGCTCCATGGATCTTGCTAACGGTGGCCGTCACCGTTCCCAAATACTTTTGTGCCGACTCCGCCGTTGCGCCAGGATAGCGAGCCAGCTCCTCCTGATCTCCGTTACCCAGGCGCACCAACAGCGACAGAATTTCGAACTGGAGTGGTGTGTGCCGGTGGGTGGTGGCCAGGCGTTGAAACTCGGCCACTGCCGACTCCAGATCCCCGCGCAGCAGCCACTCACGTACCACTGGTCCGAGGAGAGCGTTGTGCATTTGGCAGTATCCCAACTTCCGTAGGTACTCCAACGTTTCGTAGGTGAGATTGGGGCGTTTGGCTTCGGTTTCATCAGGTTTTTGGTTCGAGTTGACCTTCGCCGACATCTGAGCCACGTTGGTCAGCAGCTGCCAGACGTTCTTGATCACGTAGTCGCCGCCGACGATCTTGTGCCGCTCTGAACGCTGTTGGAGCATCTGCTTGGCCACCTCCAGCTGCTCGTAGTGGACGAGGAGGGCGGCAAAGTCGATCAGCTTGTGCTCGTCAATCTGGAATGCTAAACGGAGAGGACAAAGGATTAGAAAAGGATCCAAAGGAACTGTCTTAGGTACCCACCTGGATAGACGCTCTGCAGGCGCTTAAGACTCTCCTGGGCACGCGGCAGATCCTTCAGCTTGATGTGCAAATCGAGAATAGAGGCCAACATCCCGGCACTGTGCTGAACCTTGAGGGCCTGGCACTTGGCCAGGAGCTGTTGCGCCCGCTCCAGTCTACCGCTCCGCACCGAGAGCTGCAGGAGGCGGCGAAGCACACCGCGTGGATTCAGCTGCTTGGCCTCCAGCTCCACCAGATGGCACTCCAGCTCGTCCAGACTCATGTCACGCGGATGCTTGATGAAGCCTCCATTGGCAGTCAGGTCGGCCGCCAGCACCAACTGGGGATTGTGCATATTCTGCAATGCCTTGCCCAGTGCTTGGAGCAGCTCGTGGTCCTGCGTGGCTTGGCGTGCCAGGGACAGTATCGACTCGGCGGCCGACGGTGAGAGCTGCAGTTTAAGGCGGCGCAGCTCATGAACGAAGCGAGCCAGCGAGGGCACATCCTGGCTGAGACGGGACTGAGGACCACACATTTGCAGCAGCAGCGAACCCACAAAGTCATCCTGCGGCTGGAGAGATCTCTGCTGCAGCGCCTGGACCACCTGGGCAAACTGCTCGAACCGCTTGGTGGCTCTCGCGTTCACCGCCAATGAGGACAGTGGCTGGATCAGGCTGGAGACTTGTATCCGAGTTGGATACCGCTTCAGCAGCTCCAGGACGTCGTTCATTTGCTGCTGGTGATTCAGGAGTATTGATTCAATCACCAGGACCAGCGTCTGCGAGGGTCGCACACCCGCCGTCTCCAGCGCCTTCAAAGCTTCCAGCGGCTGGGCCAGGGAGTGCTTGAGGTTCGGCAGTAGGTAGCTACGCAGCGTCTCCTCGTCGCACTCCACTTTGAGACGCTTCATCTCGCCAACCAACCGGAGCATCCCGCTCTCTCCTTCGCGCCTATGATAGTGCAGGATCAGGGGCCAGAAGTAGTGCGGTCTCAGTTCCTGCCCAGCCGCAGACAGCTCCTCCAGACAATTCAAAGATGCTGAGGGCAGGCGGCGCAGCGCCAGTTCGGTCACGATGTGGAGGGCCCAAGGGTTCTGACCCCGCTGGACTAGTTCCTTGGCGAACTGAAGCGTCAGGTTCAGAGGCACACTGGCACGGAAGAACTCCAGAAGCAGCTGTGCCGCATACTCATCCACGTTCTGGTTGGATGCTTCGAACTTTGGAGCCGGGAGAGCGGCCACCAGCTGGAGAACGACTTCGGCGCGGTCATTATGCGCCAGCTGGATGCACAGATTCCGTAATGCCAAGGGCAAATCGAGCCCGGTGAGAAAGTCCCGCGGTAGCTTCTTCACCAGCAGCTGCACCAGCTCCATGTCCACCTCCTTGGCAGCCAGGACAGCCCTGAGCATCTGCAGCAGCTGGGCTGCCGTGAAATCCGTCTCCGATTGCACCACATCCTTGGCCTGGTCCAGCTGTCCGTTAGCCACGAGAGCCTCAAAGCGCAGAGCCTGCGTACTCGTGCCCAGGGGCATGCCAGCGGCTCGCATGCTGGACAGAACCGACTCGGTTCCGGTAAGATCCCCGTTGCGAGCATGGCCCAGGAGCAGGGAGTGGAAGTTGTGTTCAGTGAGAGCGAAGCTGCGTTCGCGCATCTCGGCCAGGAGCTCAGTGGCCTGCCGCATGTTTCCTGCCGAGCACGCCACAGCCAGGAGGGCGCTGTAAAGCGAGGCATCGGCCGGTCCATGGTAGACGGCAATCTCGGCGAGCAGTGAACGATGGTCCGGCAGTGGGAGGCGGTTCTGACGCAGCACCTCCAGTTGTGTGTGGTAGTGAGCCAAGGTAGGCTGGCCCAGTTTCAACAACTGTGCCCACAAGCTCTGGAAAAGCTGCAGTCGTTCCTGGCTGCTCTGGGCGGGCAACAGCTCGGGCACGCAGGATCCGAGAAGAAAGTGCAGCTGCTCGACGGTGACACCCTCCGGGTTGTGGGACTGCTGCAGATGCTCCACAAACCTCTGGCATTGCTCGAAGCTGATCAGGCTGTTTTGTTTGTAATAGGAGTCCAGCTGCGTCCACAACTGTTCCACGTCGACTGGCCTCGCTGGAGAAGATTTAGGATTTCTAGCCCGGCTCCTCCTGTCCGCTGCGTTCCAGGCAGCACTTCCGAAGCTCAGGTTCCGCTGTGGGATGTCCAGATTCAGCCGGCTGGACGTTGTGGTCTTAAGGAATCCCTGGCTTCCCCAGGTGGCGGTCCGTGTCGGGAGCTGCAGCATACGCTGCCAGCGCAGGCACACACCGGATAACAGGCGTGCTCGCTGCATTTCGCCCTATTTCATTCAGCTCCCCACAATATTATTAATTACGAAACAAAAAGAGAACCAAAAACAACCGGCACCATCTGGCGAGTTATCGATAACCGATAACAGGAGAGGAAGCGCGGCGCAAAATTTAGCTTTCCGATTGGTCGTTTAAGACTCCTCGTGGTTGGTGCCGAGAAACTACATTTGTTTCTAAAAAAAAACCATGAAAAGTCTTAGCTTTAATTTAATTTTTAATAGAAATTAAGAAACATAATTAGCTAACACTTTTAGCAGAACGATAGTCGAAGAGCTTGGGGAGCACATCGCCGCACTTGGCCGATATCTTGATGTCTGCCAAATGGTCAGCCCGGGTGTCTCCAATATTTACTATAGCCACAGGGAGCTTTAGGTCTTTGGTCTGCAGCACAACACGGTAGCCGGAGAAGACAAGCAGACTGGATCCCAAGACGAGCAAACCATCGCTGTTATACACCAACGCTGCAATCTCGTCCAGCCGAGCTCGTGGCACACTGTCACCGAAAAATACAATCTCCGGCTTGAGGTCACCGCCGCAGTCCGGGCATTCGGGTATCCGGAAATTTTCAATGTACTCTGCCGGTATTTCGACATCTCCATCGGGACGAATCATGTCGGGGGCATCCTGAAAGGCTGGATTTAGGGAAGACAGAATGCTCTGGAACTCGTGGCGATCGATGCGGTAGTCGCAGGACAAGCACTTGACGACATAGCCACTTCCATGGACCTCCACCACGTGCTTGCTGCCGGCTTTCGTGTGCAGTCTATCCACGTTCTGTGTCACCACTGCCTGGACTCGTTGTTCGCGCTCGAATCTGGCCAAAGCATGGTGCGTCGCATTAGGCTGGGTGGCAGAGAAGGTGGGCCATCCTACAAAGTTTCTCGCCCAATAGCGCTTGCGCACCGCCGACGATTTTACGAACTCCATATGCTGGATGGGCTTGTGGTTCGTCCTGGCGTACAGCCCAACGCCTTCGGAACGGTAATCGGGAATTCCTATGATGGGTATTAAGGAACGTAAGTTACTGTGTTTCGAGGACATCATTCCAAAGCCGGCAAGGCTCCTTACCGGACTCGGTTGAGATTCCCGCTCCCGTTAAAACCAAAACATTGGGCTTGGACAAGAGGAAGTCCTCCAGGCGCTTGATGTCATCCTCTAGGACGGGCTTATGCTGTGGCACATATTGTTGTCTGGCCTTGCTGTTTGCCAAAGCCGTGCAGCGGAACCTGAGCAGGCTTCCTACTCTCATTATCCTCCTCGTTTCTTGTTTAAAATTGTTATTTGTTGGTAGTTACCGCATCCAAATCAGCTGATTGATGTTTGGCGCACCTGATTTGGTCACTCTGAAAAACACTAGTGGGAGGGATCAGCTGGAAGTCATCGAAATGCTTCCTAAATATTATTTGTTACTAATTTAGAAAGCTTCAGGAAAACAAAAAGAGGTTGAGAGTAGTTTTTAAAATTTAATGCATATTCTAAAGCATAACGATAACATAAAAATCGGAACGGGGCTGCCACCAGATCGTGAAATGAGCGATTATCGATTGGTTACACGCCTGCCAACCGATAGAAGCTTGTTAGACGGTACCATCTCTAGAGCAGCGGCCGCAGAGTTGTGAAAAAGAAGATTGAACTCGCTTTTTTATAGTTATCGGCGTGTTTTTTGCATGCCTTTGTGGAAGCAGTTACTCCAAGACCAGAAGCAGGCCACCCGCCGGTGAACTCAATCAATTGAAGTGATTTTGAGTTACTAAAAGCCAATAGTACACCATAATTCCACGCATATTCCCACTCTTTTGCGTGTGTGTGGCGTATCTGTGTGTGCGTGCCTGGTGCGTTTGCCTGTGTCTGTGTAATTTGTCGGCTTTAATTTGCAAGCAAGCCAGTAGTTTCGGTTAAAATACTATCTTAAACCGGATAGCAGGCAAAATGTCGTACCCACCAAGGGCGCCCATGCCGCCCTACTTGAATCCCTCGATTCCGCCCCCGCACGTAAGTGTCAGCCTTCAAGAAACCCTCCATGCCAATAGTCACCCTCAACTCTTCCAATTTCCAGATGATGCCGAACATGGGTAATCCTCCGCCCCGAAGTTTTCGGAACTCGGCAACCATCAGTTCACAGCCGACAGTTTACCATCGCCCGCCAGAGCCGCAGCCACAATTCCGTGGACCCATCATCACGGTCTTCGTCGGTAACATCAGCGAACGCGTCCCGGAGGCCCTCCTGAAAAGAATACTGGCAACCTGCGGTGTGGTGATCAATTGGAAACGAGTTTCCACCTTTGGATTCTGCGAATTTGAGTAAGTTGACCTCACATGACCCTCCTACACCTCATCCCTCCATTCGAATGTTGTGGTTTGGCCTAATAAGCAGTTTTACTTTTCGTATCCAGTGGTCCCATTGCAGCCATGAGAGCTGTTCGGCTGCTTAGTGAAATGGAGATCGACGGAAAGAAGCTGGTAGCCAAGGTGGATGCCAAGAACAAAACTCTCATCGAGGACTACACAAAGGAGAATAAAAACGGCGACGGCGGCAGTGCCGTGGATGAGAAGACGGAGGACGAGTACGCTGTCAGTCAGATGCACGATCTGCTAGAGGAGCACAAGCACGAGTTCGAAGGATTCGATGGAAGCACCCGCGGCGACATCTACGGTAGCACTAACCGGAACAAGAAGACTCGCCGCGACGACGATATCAAAATCAAGGTGATGAACGACAATGCTCTCGAGGAGGAGAAGCGTAATCTCATCAGCAGCGAGATCGGCAAGTTCCGCATGCGTGCCGAGGCCGACGAGCACCGCAAGGAACTGGAGAAGGAGAAGGAAAAAGAGAAGCTGGCGGCAAGCAAGGAGAAGGAGCGTGACAAGGAGCGCAAGAAGCAGCAGCGGGAAAGCGAGCGCTCCAGTAAATCCTCCTCCAGCAAGTCTGGCTCAACGTCTGCTGGAGGAAGCTCGAGTACGGCAAAGGAAAGTGGCGAGATTGTGGACATAGACGATAAGGACCAACCATCTGTCAATAAGGAATCATCGTCATCAAAGGAAGCAAAGGAGTCCACATCGGGTGGTCGCAGCAGTGGCAGCAGTCGCAACAAGGACTCTGCCAGCACAGAAACACACAAGGAGCGTCACACAGACTCCAAGGACTCCCGACGCCGCCGTTCCAAGTCCAGGTCGAAAGACCGGGAGCGGGAGCGCGAAATCAGAGAACAGCGCGACAAGGAGCGTGAGAGGGAACGGGAGCGGGAAAGGGAGCGTGAACGGGAACGGGAGCAGAGGGAACGTGAACGAGTCGAGATGCGGGAACGCGAACGGGAGAGGAATGAGATGCGGGAACGGGAGCGGGAGCGTGAAAGGGAGAGGGAAAGGGAACGTGACCGGGAGCGTGAGCGGGAACGCGAGGAGAAGGTCCTGAAGCCAGTGCGCGACTCCCGCCGCGAAAAGGAGATGGAGGAGGAGTTAAGGGAGCGCAAGAAGGCCGAGAAGAAGGCTCGCGAGAAGGAGGCTGCCTACCAGGAGCGTCTCTCAAACTGGGAGATCCGAGAGAAGCGCAAGGCCAAGGAGAACGAGAAGGTAAGAGAGTACTGGTCTGTATATGGAACTAGCTAAGTGAAACTATTTTCTTTGGCAGTACCGTCTGAAGGAGCTTCTGCGGCAGGAGGAACGTGAAACGGATGCTAAGCGACTGAAGGAGTTCGTCGAGGATTACGATGACGAACGTGATGATTCTCTGTATTACCGTGGACGTGAGCTCCAACAGCGTCTGGCTGAACGAGTGCGTGAGGCAGATGCCGATTCCAAGGATCGCGAGAAGGAGGCCGACGAACTGGCCGAGCTCAAGAACAAGATCTTCAGCGGCGAGTTTGAAAATCCCTCGCTGGAGTATGAGAAGGCACGGCGGGAAATCGAGAAGCTGTACGAGCCTCGTATCCTGATTAACGTTAATCAGGATTCGTCAGGTGGCAATACGGCGGGGCGGGGCAAGCAAGCAGCTTCGGCCGCCGGCGAAAGTGGCACGCCATCGAATTTATCTGCTGGCGGGCAAAAGCAACGCAAAAACCAGTCATCCTCGGAAAGCTACGATCCCAACCTAGCCGGCCACAACGAGGATTCCATATCGAACGACGACCACGCCTCCATGGCGGACACAGCCTCGAATGCCAGCGGAGGATATGCCAAGAACAACAATAACGAGAAGTCCCTGTCATCGCGCCAAAATAGTATCAGTCGGCAGGACAGCGAGTCCCGCGACTCGCTCTCCCACATCCACACGCCAACCCAGGCGGCCATGCTGAACGATCAGGGTTCTGGATCTGGATCAGGTCCCGGGTCAGCGCATGATGCTCACCTTGCCTCGGCCACACCGCCCATGACCATGCCCCTCATTTCGCTGACGCTGGGCAACAATCTCAAGAAGAAGAAGATAGAGGCCACAGGCGTCTTTGTCAACGACGACGACAATGACGAGAATATCAATCCCAAGAAGCGCAAACTGGTGCCCCTGGGTGAGTAACCGAATCATCAGAATACGTTTCCGATATATCTAACCATCTCTGGCTGGCTTTTTGTAGACTACGACGACAACATGAGCAACAGTACGCCATTGGGCCATCCAGCTGGCGATATTGGCAGCAGTGAGGGCGGTGGAAAGAGCAGCAGCAATAGCAACAGCTCAACGGATCGACAAAGCTCCGCCGTTTCGGCGGCAACAGCTGCAGCCGCTGCCGTTAGCCAGAAGATAGCCCAGGCTGGATCCGGGACGGGATCCGGTTCGGGTTCGAACGGTAATGGCAAGAGCAACAGCGGCGGTAGCAGTAAACACAACAGCGGCAGCAGCAGCAGCAGCAGCAGCAAACACGGTAAGAATGATGCAGCTGCATCTGCGAGCAGTAGCGCAGATGCTGCCGCTACAAACACCAAAAAGGATGAGAATGGTGCAAAGGTGTATGATGAAAAACGGCGGCATATAAAAAGCATTATTGACAGGATACCAACGCAAAAGGCGGAGCTATTTAATTATAAGCTTGACCGCAACGAGATTGACAGCGGTCTAATGGAACGCAAAATACGTCCATGGATCAATAAGAAAATCATCGAATATATCGGTGAACCGGAGCCAACGCTTGTGGACTTTATATGTTCCAAAGTATTGGCCGGCAGTCCGCCCCAAAGTATTCTAGACGATGTTCAAATGGTGAGTCTCATCAACGAATCCTCTCAATCAAATTCAATGAAAAACTAATCCTTATTATTTCTATTTCTATCTCTTTTCGTTTCATAATATACGCACAATCGCTCATAGGTATTGGATGAGGAGGCTGAAGTGTTTGTGGTGAAGATGTGGCGACTGCTAATCTACGAACTGGATGCCAAAAAAAGCGGCATCGTGGGGAAGTAGAGCGCGGATGCAATACCCGCCATTCCGGGGTCAGGGCGGGACAAAAGGCTGCGGATCGTACGATCCTCTTGCGAGACGGATCAAGGCCCTGATTATTTAGAATTTAAGTTAATGCTTCAATTTGTACATATTGTGCGGCGTTCCCCGAAATGATGTTGAGCTTTCTCTGCTAAGACACTCCTTATTAGAGTTACTATAAAGCGACCAGGGGCACATATAAAAAGAGCTATTCAGTACGCTCAATGATTTTTTAGTCCATCATTTTAGTGTTAGCGATAATTGCTAAATTTAATCATCAATGATAAATGTAAATACACTCTAAATTCACAAAAAACAACATAAAAATCAATAGTCCTACATCAAGAGTACCATTTACATTTACCCCAATTATCCTTTATTATCCTTTGTTCATTAAAGCGACACTTTTTTTTTTTATCCGGACCATTTTTGACTTGAGAGCAAACAAATAAATCATCAAATAAAAAATAAACATATGTATATCGAATTTTTTTCCAACGGGTACCAATTTTACAAAAATGTGGATTTTCCTATTTTTCCCACTTTTGCTCCTTCCGATGGCCATAGCTCTGCCAATTCGTATCCGATCAGGAAATTAACTACCATTTAGTAATCAGGGAACCCAGAAGCTACTTTCCTCATCCAAATTAGTGCCTAAATATCGTTTTAAAATTTTTCGAATTTTTTCCCAGGGGTTCCCCTACAAAGTTGTGGGTTTTCCTATTTTCCCCACTTTTGCTCCTGCCGATGGCCATAGCTCTGCCGATTTGTATCCGATCAGGAAATAAACTACCATTTAGTCATCAGGGAACCCAGAAGCTACTTTCCTCATCCAAATTAGTGCCTAAACATCGTTTTGAAATTTTTCGAATTTTTTCCCAGGGGTTCCCCTACAAAATTGATGGTTTTCCTATTTTCCCCACTTTTGCTCCTTCCGATGGCCATAGCTCTGCCAATTCGTATCCGATCAGGAAATTAACTACCATTTAGTAATCAGGGAACCCAGAAGCTACTTTCCTCATCCAAATTAGTGCCTAAACATCGTTTTGAAATTTTTCGAATTTTTTCCCAGGGGTTCCCCTACAAAATTGATGGTTTTCCTATTTTCCCCACTTTTGCTCCTTCCGATGGCCATAGCTCTGCCAATTCGTATCCGATCAGGAAATTAACTACCATTTAGTAATCAGGGAACCCAGAAGCTACTTTCCTCATCCAAATTAGTGCCTAAATATCGTTTTGAAATTTTTCGAATTTTTTCCCAGGGGTTCCCCTACAAAATTGTGGACTTTCCTATTTTCCCCACTTTTGCTCCTTCCGATGGCCATAGCTCTGCCGATTTGTATCCGATCAGGAAATAAACTACCATTTAGTCATCAGGGAACCCAGAAGCTACTTTCCTCATCCAAATTAGTGCCTAAACATCGTTTTGAAATTTTTCGAATTTTTTCCCAGGGGTTCCCCTACAAAATTGTGGGTTTTCCTATTTTCCCCACTTTTGCTCCTTCCGATGGCCCCAGCTCTGCCACTTCGTATCCGATCAGGAAATTAACTACCATTTAGTAATCAGGGAACCCAGAAGCTACTTTCCTCATCCAAATTAGTGCCTAAATATCGTTTTGAAATTTTTCGAATTTTTTCCCAGGGGTTCCCCTACAAAATTGTGGGTTTTCCTATTTTCCCCACTTTTGCTCCTTCCGATGGCCCTAGCTCTGCCAATTCGTATCCGATCAGGAAATTAACTACCATTTAGTAATCAGGGAACCCAGAAGCTACTTTCCTCATCCAAATTAGTGCCTAAATATCGTTTTGAAATTTTTCGAATTTTTTCCCAGGGGTTCCCTACAAAATTGTGGGTTTTCCTATTTTCCCCACTTTTGCTCCTGCCGATGGCCATAGCTCTGCCGATTTGTATCCGATCAGGAAATAAACTACCATTTAGTAATCAGGGAACCCAGAAGCTACTTTCCTCATCCAAATTAGTGCCTAAATATCGTTTTGAAATTTTTCGAATTTTTTCCCAGGGGTTCCCCTACAAAGTTGTGGGTTTTCCTATTTTCCCCACTTTTGCTCCTTCCGATGGCCCTAGCTCTGCCAATTCGTATCCGATCAGGAAATTAACTACCATTTAGTAATCAGGGAACCCAGAAGCTACTTTCCTCATCCAAATTAGTGCCTAAATATCGTTTTGAAATTTTTCGAATTTTTTCCCAGGGGTTCCCCTAAAAAATTGTGGGTTTTCCTATTTTCCCCACTTTTGCTCCTTCCGATGGCCATAGCTCTGCCGATTTGTATCCGATCAGGAAATAAACTACCATTTAGTCATCAGGGAACCCAGAAGCTACTTTCCTCATCCAAATTAGTGCCTAAATATCGTTTTGAAATTTTTCGAATTTTTTCCCAGGGGTTCCCCTACAAAATTGTGGGTTTTCCTATTTTCCCCACTTTTGCTCCTTCCGATGGCCCCAGCTCTGCCACTTCGTATCCGATCAGGAAATTAACTACCATTTAGTAATCAGGGAACCCAGAAGCTACTTTCCTCATCCAAATTAGTGCCTAAATATCGTTTTGAAATTTTTCGAATTTTTTCCCAGGGGTTCCCCTACAAAATTGTGGGTTTTCCTATTTTCCCCACTTTTGCTCCTTCCGATGGCCCTAGCTCTGCCAATTCGTATCCGATCAGGAAATTAACTACCATTTAGTAATCAGGGAACCCAGAAGCTACTTTCCTCATCCAAATTAGTGCCTAAATATCGTTTTGAAATTTTTCGAATTTTTTCCCAGGGGTTCCCCTACAAAATTGTGGACTTTCCTATTTTCCCCACTTTTGCTCCTTCCGATGGCCATAGCTCTGCCGATTTGTATCCGATCAGGAAATAAACTACCATTTAGTCATCAGGGAACCCAGAAGCTACTTTCCTCATCCAAATTAGTGCCTAAATATCGTTTTGAAATTTTTCGAATTTTTTCCCAGGGGTTCCCCTACAAAATTGTGGGTTTTCCTATTTTCCCCACTTTTGCTCCTTCCGATGGCCCCAGCTCTGCCAATTCGTATCCGATCAGGAAATTAACTACCATTTAGTAATCAGGGAACCCAGAAGCTACTTTCCTCATCCAAATTAGTGCCTAAATATCGTTTTGAAATTTTTCGAATTTTTTCCCAGGGGTTCCCCTACAAAATTGTGGGTTTTCCTATTTTCCCCACTTTTGCTCCTTCCGATGGCCCTAGCTCTGCCAATTCGTATCCGATCAGGAAATTAACTACCATTTAGTAATCAGGGAACCCAGAAGCTACTTTCCTCATCCAAATTAGTGCCTAAATATCGTTTTGAAATTTTTCGAATTTTTTCCCAGGGGTTCCCCTACAAAATTGTGGGTTTTCCTATTTTCCCCACTTTTGCTCCTGCCGATGGCCATAGCTCTGCCGATTTGTATCCGATCAGGAAATAAACTACCATTTAGTAATCAGGGAACCCAGAAGCTACTTTCCTCATCCAAATTAGTGCCTAAATATCGTTTTGAAATTTTTCGAATTTTTTCCCAGGGGTTCCCCTACAAAGTTGTGGGTTTTCCTATTTTCCCCACTTTTGCTCCTTCCGATGTCCATAGCTCTGCCGATTTGTATCCGATCAGGAAATAAACTACCATTTAGTAATCAGGGAACCCAGAAGCTACTTTCCTCATCCAAATTAGTGCCTAAATATCGTTTTGAAATTTTTCGAATTTTTTCCCAGGGGTTCCCCTACAAAGTTGTGGGTTTTCCTATTTTCCCCACTTTTGCTCCTTCCGATGGCCCTAGCTCTGCCAATTCGTATCCGATCAGGAAATTAACTACCATTTAGTAATCAGGGAACCCAGAAGCTACTTTCCTCATCCAAATTAGTGCCTAAATATCGTTTTGAAATTTTTCGAATTTTTTCCCAGGGGTTCCCCTACAAAGTTGTGGGTTTTCCTATTTTCCCCACTTTTGCTCCTGCCGATGGCCATAGCTCTGCCGATTTGTATCCGATCAGGAAAGAAACTACCATTTAGTAATCACGGAACCCAGAAGCTACTTTCCTCATCCAAATTAGTGCCTAAATATCGTTTCGAAATTTTTCGAATTTTTTCCCAGGGGTTCCCCTACAAAATTGTGGATTTTCCTATTTTCCCCACTTTTGCTCCTTCCGATGGCCCTAGCTCTGCCAATTCGTATCCGATCAGGAAATAAACTACCATTTAGTAATCAATGAACCCAGAAGCTACTTTCCTCATCCAAATTAGTGCCTAAATATCGTTTTGAAATTTTTCGAATTTTTTCCCAGGGGTTCCCCTACAAAGTTGTGGGTTTTCCTATTTTCCCCACTTTTGCTCCTGCCGATGGCCATAGCTCTGCCGATTTGTATCCGATCAGGAAAGAAACTACCATTTAGTAATCACGGAACCCAGAAGCTACTTTCCTCATCCAAATTAGTGCCTAAATATCGTTTCGAAATTTTTCGAATTTTTTCCCAGGGGTTCCCCTACAAAATTGTGGATTTTCCTATTTTCCCCACTTTTGCTCCTTCCGATGGCCCTAGCTCTGCCAATTCGTATCCGATCAGGAAATAAACTACCATTTAGTAATCAATGAACCCAGAAGCTACTTTCCTCATCCAAATTAGTGCCTAAATATCGTTTTGAAATTTTTCGAATTTTTTCCCAGGGGTTCCCCTACAAAGTTGTGGGTTTTCCTATTTTCCCCACTTTTGCTCCTGCCGATGGCCATAGCTCTGCCGATTTGTATCCGATCAGGAAAGAAACTACCATTTAGTAATCACGGAACCCAGAAGCTACTTTCCTCATCCAAATTAGTGCCTAAATATCGTTTCGAAATTTTTCGAATTTTTTCCCAGGGGTTCCCCTACAAAATTGTGGATTTTCCTATTTTCCCCACTTTTGCTCCTTCCGATGGCCCTAGCTCTGCCAATTCGTATCCGATCAGGAAATAAACTACCATTTAGTAATCAATGAACCCAGAAGCTACTTTCCTCATCCAAATTAGTGCCTAAATATCGTTTTGAAATTTTTCGAATTTTTTCCCAGGGGTTCCCCTACAAAGTTGTGGGTTTTCCTATTTTCCCCACTTTTGCTCCTGCCGATGGCCATAGCTCTGCCGATTTGTATCCGATCAGGAAAGAAACTACCATTTAGTAATCACGGAACCCAGAAGCTACTTTCCTCATCCAAATTAGTGCCTAAATATCGTTTCGAAATTTTTCGAATTTTTTCCCAGGGGTTCCCCTACAAAATTGTGGATTTTCCTATTTTCCCCACTTTTGCTCCTTCCGATGGCCCTAGCTCTGCCAATTCGTATCCGATCA